GACGCCATGAGTCGCTGTGAACATACACGAGAATCCACTCTGCCCGGAGGGAGTTGTTGACGGTTTCGGAGAAACTGCAATGAACGCTCGTAGCGCTACAGATTTCCATGTCAGACGCCTTACGTTACTCGGAGTGACGATTTACTGGGCTTACTCCACAGTTTGTAACCCTTGCCGGATGTTGTCGCGGACGTGAAAAACGTTAAGTGGCGGGTTCTGGCCCATTCGACAAACCAATTCCAGATTGTGTCGTTTAATGAGTAGCACATCACACGCTAGAATAGATCCGTTAGAGTCCCCCCCCCCCCCCCCCACTCGAGCTTCACTTTCTCAACACAATGCAAATGATTACGCTCTCATAGTCATATTACGCTCGTCCGTTAGAGTTCCCATCGCATCACAGGATAGTGCAAGAGGTCAAGGACAGCCGCGAAATTCCCTTGCTCTCGCACCGTTGCTGTCAAACGGCTGGAGCCCGTGAACCGCAAGTGATCTCAAATGCAGAGGAGCTGAACTAGGCTACCATCACGCTCGGACGCCATCGGCCAGCGGCCATTAAGTTTTAGGAGACATTGGAATTTGACATAGAGCTATCGACATGAACATTTTAGGATTTAATGGCCATCGCAATGTCGTCGGAGTGAATAACTGGCATAGTTATTGTGTCAGTCTCCGGCACTTTAAGCTTGACAGTTTTCTGCTGCTCTAGCATTTCCAAGCCCACGCTTCCAAGTTCAAATGAAGCCCGCTCGCCAGACAACGAGACTTAAAGGCCCATACGTAGTCTCGCGTAAAATTCACAGAAGTTAGTGAGGGTTTGTTTAACGGGGCAGATGTAGGACTTCCGATGTGAATATCGAACCGGGCCGTGACAGGCTCCGAAAGTAACAGGGATGCATACAAAGTAAGAAATTATTCCAGTGTCCCAACAAGAGGTAAAACATTTTGTTTTCTGGAAACTATCACCCAACGACTCAACGATGGTGCTGCACTTAGCATGCTGCGTGTTATAGGGCGACCATATCACGTCCTCAGGGGATTATTCGGCTTTGTAATTATTCGGTTTCGATCATATCATCAAGCACAACAGCCCTATTCAGTAACCTCCCAGGATGACCCCATCATCAAGGGCAATCCAGAGGTCAGACCACGCTGATGTCCAGAGGTCAGGTCACGCTGATGTACAGAGGTCAGGCCACGCTGATGTCCTGAGGTCAGGCCACGTTGATGTCCAGAGGTCAGGCCACGTTGATTTCCAGGGGTCAGGCCACGCTGATGTCCAGAGGTCAGGCCACGTTGATGTCTTGAGGTCAGGTCACGCTGATGTACAGAGGTCAGGCCACGCCGATGTCCAGAGGTCAGGCCACGTTGACGTCCAGAGGTCAGGCCACGTTGATGTCCAGAGGTCAGGCAGTGGATGTCCAGGCCGTTGCCGTCAGGGTCAGGCACGTGATGTCCGGAGGTCAGGCCACGCTGATGCTAAGAGTTCAGGCTATGCGGATGTCCAGAGGTCAGGCCACGCTGATGTCCAGAGGTCAGGCCACGTTGATGTCCAGAGGTCAGACCACGCTGATGTCCAGAGGACAGGCCACGCTGATGCTAAGAGTTCAGGCTATGCGGATGTCCAGAGGTCAGGCCACGCTGATGTCCAGAGGTCAGGCTAGACGATGTTTCTCAATACACACCAGGGACAGGCCGCAGAGCAAATGTCAGCTCCAGAATGGGTTACAAGAACGTCTAATGTTCCGGTCGCCTGGTGCCGGGAATGAAATTCAGAGATGAGAATGTCAGAATGAGAATGCTGCGGGAATGTCCTCCAGTTTATGTATGCGGGAGTCAAGAGCGCACACGGTCGCAACAATCAGGGCGAAATCTGCCCGGAGCAGATTTTCGCGCAGTGACGCACGATGCTGACGCACAGTGAGACATATTGCAGGGTTTAGAGCTACCAGAAAAGCTCTAATTTTATTCTTTGCTCCATATTTTTAGTCTTACTGGCCTTATTTATTACTAATATTGGTCTACCAGCTTTGATCAGAATCAAGACTGATTCTAAACTTGCTCTTAAACGTAGGCTAAGTGACCAGTCTCATTTCATACACGTTCTATTATCATTTTTAGAGGGACGTCTGCATATGATGCAGTCATACGAATAAAAGGGATGAAAAATACCAAGACCAATACTTCCCTAAGTCTGTTTACTCTAAAGAAGCAGAGCACCAAACATGCACGAAAAAGGCCGATATGGCCTTAAGATGGCCTTAAGCCAACCAACTGGAATATTAGCGCTTTCGCGTTTCGAATTCAGACGCAACGCTACCAAAAGAGAACAAATACACTGAAATCACGATAACGGCGTATTCCGCTCCTTCGAGGCGAGTACGGCCAGAATCACGGGTGGAAAAGCTGTTCGCACTGTCATCCTGGTCAGGTGTGTTAGCACGCACACAACGTTTCGGCCGGTGACCTCTCCGGCCGTTGTGAAGTGTTTGAAGTTCTGAGTAGGGCTGGACAATGCTTGTCATCAGTCAAACACACGCCACTGCTCAACTTCTCCCCTTGGCTTCGCTGGAACTCGTACTAGGGTCTTCTGATTGCAAGTTCAGCGCCCTACCAGCTGAGCCAACAGGGAAGGGCAATCTTTCGGTGTTAGAACTTGGTGTCGTTCATCCCCTACATGTTTACAGATTTCTCTGCAGAATTGGGCTGATATATATGCTGGGCTCACTGAGGCTCGTTAGCCAATTGCATGTGTGCTACCTCCTTGATCTTCCTGACTTTTCAGTGTTTCTCTCAGTCTGTGATGGTTCCTTCGCCCCGCGCTGGTCGAAGATCGCCGGCTGACCATGCAGGCTTTACGACGTCAAACTTCAGAGTCTCGCCCTGGATGGTTGCCTTTCTAAGCTCTTCCAGCCTGACCGACAAAGGGCGACCGATCTCTCCGTTGTAGAACCTGCCACAGCCGCTGTCGCACATGCAGTTGTTCGTATGCTTCTCATGTGTCGGTGGCCTGACTGGTGAGTGTTCCCCGCAGCGCTGAACTGCTTTTCAAGACTGTCATGCTATGTCGTCTATAGATCCTTCTGAGCTTCTCTGACAAGTCCTTGTTGCACGGCAATGATACCGCTGCTGCTGATTTTTGCCCTTCGCCGCGTTTCTTGTTGAGCATGCTCTTTGCACTGTGGTCTATGAAGCCTTCCGGGTACCCGCTCACGCGGCACGTCTCGGTTAATCCTTTATTTCTCTACTCCTAGCTGCATCAGTGTTCTGGTGGCATTTGCGTGATGATGTTTTTTACTGTGATCGGATGTGACAGTTCGGACAGCGACCGGCTGTTGTTGGTTTCCAGAACACCGACGTCCAGAACCCGCTGTTCGTCCTCTCAACGCGTACGTCTAGGAACGGTAGCCTGTGGTACGCGCGTTCCAAAGTGAACTTGATGCATGGTCTCAAACTGTTGACGTGGTCGAGGAACGCCGTTGCATCTTCCTTCTGTCGCCGGAGGACGAAGGTTTCGCCGAAACATCAAAGCCATACTGAGAGCTTCAGCGGTGCAGGTCATGTCTTCGAAATGCTCCACGTGGATGTTGGAAATCACCAGTGAGGTGATGGCATCGCCATTCCCTCGGTTTGCTGGTAGTATTGTTCATTTAGCTGGAAGGTGGTTGTGGTGACACAGGACGTGAGTAGGTCCATGGTGTTGTTGATTGGGATGCCTGCCACTTCCCGGGGAGTTAACTTGCCGAAACGGCGCGTATTACTTTCAACCCCAGACGAGGAAGATGCTCCGAACACTAATCCCTCCGTGATACTATTGTCTCGTCTCAATCCGTCCGTAAAACTGTAACTGGGGCTAGAACATCCCACCATTACCCCGGCGTAAATGGAAAAGCCTTGGCGAAAAGAAAAATGGTCAACATATCGAAAAAATCGCGCTCATTCATCTGCAGCTGTGATGAGCAGCAGTGTATACAACACAAATCACATGATAACGGAACTCACAAGTGCTGGTGGTGGCTGTGGCATGGCGGCGCTCACAGCAGGCGAAGGACAGGACGGCACTGGGGCAGACCGTCCAGGTTTAAACACCTCTGACGCGGCGCGTGCTCTCACCCAGCTAGACCGGGGACCCGTATTCCCTTCAGGCCGCATTCATCTACATCCGCCCCGACCTTCCAAGAACGCCCCTCATAGCCAGACCCCCATATACTCCACCGGTCACCCTACACCACAGACACCAGTGATGCCGTTGGCAGGAGCTGCGTCGTCCGCGCGCGCGCCTGCTGCCTCTCTCCCTCCCCCTCCCTAGCCGCTCGGGACTTCAGAGCGGGTGGAGCGGACGCCGCGGCCGCTAGCGGAGCGGCGACGCCGCGGCAGGTGGCCTGTGCGGCACTGAGCGGCACCCCGGCCGCGGTCCCGACCGCCTGCAATCCCGGTCAACATCAGCAGTCGTCCGAGCCAGCGCCGCCGCCCGCTGAAAAAGCCGATTACCGGTCGGGCGTCCGCCAGGCCGGCCGGAGCACGGCTTGGCAGGCCGCGCCGCGCCGTCAATGCCCGCAGGACGGAACGAACGCGGAGGCGGACGCCGCGAGGATTGCCTGGTGCGCCTCAAGAGCCGGCCGCCATTGGGCCGTCACGTTTTGGGAAATGCGCTTTCGACGCCCGTCAAGATCCGAAGGCGAAATCGATTGGTACCTGCGGCGGACATCAGTTTGAGCAGCGGGCGTTCGCCCAATGCGAATGCGCTGCGTGTCACGCGCATCCACGAATCAATCTGCGATATCCGCCTGTAAATTCGAGATTCCGGTGAACCAAGTGCGGCCTTTGATGGAGTCGCCACGGCGTTCTCAGACACGCAGGATGAGCGATGCGCACGTTTGCAGATCAGTAAAAGTGAAAATGTGAAAAGTTTATCAATCCAACACAAGACGTCGCACCAATTTATCGGACCATCTTCAGGTGATGGATAAAAGCACGCCTGGATGGCAGCAGGATGGAGGGAGCTGATCGCGGGATTTAAATGCGCCACCGCTGCCATGGTTTCATCACATAAAAACAGCATCATCAAAAACAGCAGCAGTTAAACAGAATCATCAGGCTCCAATGCCCCGACTGATCGCAACGCCGGAACAAACATCGACGCTGCCTGTCGCTTGTCGCGCAACCCGCGGCGACGTCGGCTTGCTGCCCCCACCCTGCCCCAGTTCGGCCTCCACCCACTCGTCACTGCTGGCCCCTCCCTGCCCCAGTTCGGCCCCCGCCCGCTCGTCACTGCTGGCCCCTCCCTGGCCCCTCCCCTGCCCACAGTTCGGTCCTGCCACCGCGCTCGTCACATTGCTGGCCCCTCCCTGCCCCAGTTCGGCCTCCACCCGCTCGTCACTGCTGGCCCCTCTCTGCCTCAGTTCGGCCTCCACCCGCTCGTCACTGCTGGCCCCTCCCTGCCCCAGTTCGGCCCCCGCCCGCTCGTCACTGCTGGCCCCTCCCTGCCCCAGTTCGGCCTCCGCCCGCTCGTCACTGCTGGCCCCTCCCTGCCCCAGTTCGGCCTCCACCCGCTCGTCACTGCTGGCCCCTCCCTGCCTCAGTTCGGCCTCCACCCGCTCGTCACTGCTGGCCCCTCCCTGCCCCAGTTCGGCCCCCCCGCTCTTCACTGCTGGCCCCTCCCTGCCTCAGTTCGGCCTCCACCCGCTCGTCACTGCTGGCCCCTCCCTGCCCCAGTTCGGCCTCCACCCGCTCGTCACTGCTGGCCCCTCCCGCCGCCCCGGCCCGCACTGACCCTGAGCTGGGCGGCGGCCGACGAGACGACGCCGCCGTCGTGGCCCGGCCGCCAGCCGGTGACCAGGTCGTGAAGGATGACGCAGCCGAGCGAGTGCGCCACCACCGAGACGCGGCCGCCGCGCGCCTCGAAGCGCGGGTAGTGCCGGCTGAAGTTGGCGTACACGGTGTTGAGCGCGCGCCGCAGCCCGGCGATCAGCTCGTCGCGGTACAGCGGCGACGTGTAGTACATGATGTCCATGAACGAGTCGTTGAGCATCTGGCGCAGGCCGAGCATCTGGTGCGGCGTCACGGCGTCGATCATGCCGGCGTCGAGTCGCAGCGACGAGCGCCACTCCACCGGGATGAACTCGGCGCGGCCCGCCGCCGGCCCAAAGTGCTTGTCGCGCAGAGGCTGCCCGATGGAGCGCATGCTACCGGCAGCCGGAGACGGGAGCCGGGTGAGAGGGGGAGGGAGCGGAGCGGCAGGGGCGCCGCTGGTGCCCGGTTTGGCGACGCACAGCCGCTCGAGGCGTCACACGGGCAGCCCCCGGTCACGGGATGTCCTGATGTACCAGTTCCGTCAGAGCCACGGCAGTGCCAACTTTCAGAGTCATCCAGCGGACCCGCCGGAGCTTGCGTAAGGCACGCGACGACCGGCGTGGACGCCTGGAGTAGCGGGCGGGTGGCGGACTGCACCAGCGGACGGCCGCGACACTGGACGACACCGAGCACACCAGACATGCACGAGCCATTGACGTCCCGGGCGCGATCAGACCCTGACGGAACCTGCCGCCGGTCTCCTGACGTGAGCTGCTGCGGCGGCGGCGGTGCGCGCGCGCGTACCTGGCCGTGTTCTTGATGATGGAGCTGGAGTCCATCTTCTGACCGATGCCGTGCACCACGAAGATGAGGTGGGTGATGTCGGGCAGCCGGTCCTCCCAGACGGCCGGCACCGGATACGACCGACGCAGCGGCTCGCCAGCTGCCGGCGCGCGCACACGTGTGGCGACACAGCGGGCGGGCGGACACAGGGCGGACACAGCGCGGACGGGCGGACGCAAGGGCGGACATACGGGACCGAGTCACCGACGGGTGTGAGCAGGGTGCCGACACACGAGCATAAGTACTCGGCAGATACAGTGGGGCGCACGAACATGACAGAAACAGGTGTAAGACAAACGGGCGGGCGCATGGGGTAGACATGCAGAGCAGACACACGGGGCAGACGTACAGCTAACACACAGAATACACACAGAGTAGGCACGTGTGACAGATACCTGTGATGGAGACATAGAGAGAAACACGGGACAGCCACTAGGAAAGCACAGGGTAAACGATCAGAGCAGACACACAGGGGCAGATAAATGGGGCAGACACACGGGGCAGAAAAACGTTACAGACTCACGTAAACAGACAGACGTGGCAGGCACACAGGGCAACCAAAGAGAGCAGGCAAACGAGGCATACACGGAGGACAGACACAAAGCAGACAGAGAGGACAGACACAGAGAGCAGACACCGAGGACAGACACCGAGGGCAGACACAGAGGACAGACACGGAGGACAGACACACAGGACAGACACACCAGGCAGACGCAGAGGGCGGACACAGAGAGCAGACACAGAGAACAGACACAGAGGGTAGACACCGAGGGCAGACACGCAGGGACATACACACAGGGCAGAAACGGAGGACAAACAACGAGGGAGAACACACAGGGCCGACACACGGGCCAGACACACAGGACAGACACAGAGGACAGACACACAGGCCAGACACACAGGGCAGACACAGAGGCAGACACCGAGGGCCGACACCGAGGGCAGACACACGGGCCAGACACAGAGGACAGACACGGAGGGCGGGCACGCCGGGCGGACATACGGTGCCGATACACGGGCTAGACACACAGGGGACACCAAGGGCAGACACCGATGGCAGACACACAGAGCAGACACACCGGGCGGACATGCGGTGCCGACACGCTGGTTAGCGGTGCCGCTTGACTGACGCAGAGGTTCTCGGGCGGCCTGACCGGCAGCCGGACACGCAGCGCAGGGTCGGCGCGAAGGACGGCCTACTGCAGAGGGTGGTACGGGCTTCAGCACCTGGGCAACAGGTGAGCAGCGGGGGCCGCTGGGCCACCGCGAAGATAACACAGCGGACGGGGCGACAAATCAAAGTATGGCGAAGAGACATGCGTACTATCGGTGGTGGCGTATCCCCGGGGCCGCGTCTACCGCCTGTAGAGAGGGGCGGGCCGGGAGGCGACACTCACCGCCCTCGAAGCCGAGCTTCTGGTACAGGCCCCGCATCACCTTGGAGAGCACGCGGCCGCTGTGCACGGCCACGTCGCCGTTGCTGTACCACACCACCACGAACTTGTCGAACTCCACGTGGTGGATGGCTGCCGGCAGCGGGCGGCGCATACGTTAGGGACGGACACAGAGCAGACAAGGGCGGTCGCCTGAGTCAGTCAGCGAGCGCTCCCGGCCCGTTCACGTACGCCGGACCATGCCACCGCGCTGACCGATCGTTACAGCAGCTCTTCAGCGGCGTCGGGCGCCCGAGCGGGCGCCGCCGGCAGCTCGGGCGCCCCACGCTACACGTGGCTGGCAGCAGCGGGGGTGGAGGCAAGGTCCGTCAGCTGGCTGCGGCGGAAGCTAAGCGAGAGCACGCTTTGTTTTGCGCCTGTTCAAGATGAGCCCCAACACGAGGCACAGCGTCCTTCATGCCCTACTTCACTAAAAAAAGCATTGTTTTCAGTGTGAAAGGGGACTTTCCGGGTTGTGCCACCCCTGCACGCGAGGATGGGCACCACTACGAGAAGCGGGCCGCTGATGAGCATCGCGAATTCCCCCCATACCAAACAGCTGACAGCGGCCACGGACTGGGCGTGAGCGCGCGCCGCGACGAGACGCGTCTCACCCTGCCGAGGCGCGCGCGGGTCGGCCTGCGTCCAGGCGCCGGTGCGCACGAGCCGGCGGTGCTCGTCCTCCACCCGGCCGGCCACCGCCTCGTCCAGCGGCTCCCACGAGCCGTCGTAGAACCAGGCGCCGCGCGTCACGGCGAACTGTTCGTCCGACCAGTAGAGCGAGCGGCCCAGCCGGCTCTGCAGCAGCACCTCGTACATGCCGCCGCGCACCAGCACGCGGTCCGATGCCGCTCCGGCCACGCCGTCCACGCCTGCCGACGATAGGCGCCAGCCTCAGCGGCCGGCGGCGGCCGGTGCGCGGCTGCTTCGAGCCGTTGCATGTCGAAGGCAAGGAGGAGTGGCCTCCCACGCCCGCTCGGGTCATGTAGTTATAACGTCGCAAGGGTTAATGCCAGGGTCGCGACATCGCTGTCAATAGTCGAGGCAACGCTTGCGCACTGCACATCACAGCGGTGACCTGAGGTGGGCTGTTCAGCGGCGTGAGTGACACCCGGTACCGACCCACGCGACGGCGGGGCGTGCGCGCCCCGCCCCTGCGCCACTCACCGTTGGCGACGTGCGCCACGCCGGCCGAGCCGTGCATCTGCAGCCGGATGCGCGACGGACTGCCGTGGCTTGGCTGCTGTGGGACATCGCTGTGGTGCGCCGCCGGCTCGCCAGCCGCCGGGCCACCGTATGGCATCTGCGCCGGCATCGCGCCGCAAAACGCCATCTGGTGGTGGGCGGCGCCGGGGAACGCCATCTGGCCGTGCACCGGGCCGGGATACGGCATCTGGCCGTGCACCGGGCCAGGGTACGGCATCTGGCCGTGCGGCGCAGCGGCGTACGGCTGCTGGCCGTACCCGGGGCCGGCGCTATTCAGCAGCTGACTGACGTCGGTCGTCTCATCGTTGTCGGCGGCCTCGGTAACATAGGTGGCGCCACTCGCGGGGTAGATAACGCCACCAGCGGCGGGCGATGGGAATAGGTGGCGGTAGTGCTGCTCGAGGCTAAGCGAGTCGAAGCCATCGAAGGGCGTCCACCGCTTGTCGGTGTCGCTCTTGTAATGCCAGCGCACGTGCGCCGGGTCCACCGCCTCCGGCGACGGGAAGACGGCGGCCGCGCCGGGCCAGCTGACCGGGCCGCAGGTGGCCGCCGGCACCGTCGGGTCGTACATGGTCTGGGGACGGTGAGCGCAGCGTTACCGTCTAAGCCGCCTGCGCCGCCCTCAGCGAGCGCGCCACCACGCGCCGCTGTCATGCCCCAGTCCATCACGATACGCTCAGCCCGTGAGCTTAGCACACATGGGGCAGGAACTGTGCCAATACAGAGACAGGTCTACTCATCGCCAGCAGACTCCGTGCTAATTCCCGTGAGTAATGAAAAGGTATGCAAGGGTTAACCAGCACGATGTAACGCGTGAACTCGGTAAGCCATTCAAATGTCACTGGTTTGCGCTGGCTTCAAACTTGCAGGCCAACACCGTAACCTTCAATGAAAGAAACGCTTCCTTCCTTAGACAGCTTCCTTGATCGCCGGTGACGCCACCAGCATGGTCGTGATGAAAACACCGAGGAGCTATACAACTCAGATTGGTTTCATGGTCAGTTGTGCAGTTGCGGGCCTTAAAAGGAGCGCTCCACATTGCGCGGGCTTTTGGACTGCAAAAGCCATATTTTCATTCAAATTCCGCCATTCCATAAGACTTACGGCGATCAAGGCCAAGACAAATACAATTGCTAAGTTGGTGATGTCTGGCGTTTTGTGAGCATGATTTCCGAATACAACGGCCGTCAGTTGGCACTTGATCAATGCTGTGCAAGGCGCGATGACGTCATCAAACAATGACGTATTGAGCAGCATATTTACAGAGCAGAGAAACTGTATTGCCCAGAGCAGTCTTCTCAACTTAAAAGTATACCATTGGCTTGAAACAGGCGCCTCCACGCTTGTTTCACGACGCTACATGAAACATTGATGAATTTTAGTCGTGTATGCTTATAGTTTAGATAGCGGTTTTAGGTGCCCTGGTTGTTGAAATATCGCGCAAAGTGTGAAAAACGGTCACGGGCCGAGCGGTGCTGGCGACCTCTGGCGGCTGCCGGCAGGAGAGAGCGCATTTCGCCTGTCATCTGTGCAACACAGCCGAACCTATTCCATGGGATCGGCGAATGATAATGGGACGTGGCCGGTGATTTTTGGCCCTTCCATCAACTGTACGCATTTTGAATGTTGTCGGCACGCACTGCCGTTACATTAAACAGCATTGTATTGCATCGAACAGTGAAAAACGGTTTATAGCGGCCAAATCAAATTTCCTGGCTCACGCACATGTGACGCTACAATCTAGAGCACGTGACTGTCCGTTCGATTCCCCATCATTGCATGCTACTTCCGAGTGCGCCCCCTGCCCTGGGTGCAGAGATGTGGCACAAAACTTCAAGAACTATCGAAAAGAGCGAAATCCATCATCCTAAGTAAAAGCCATCCCTCAGCACGGTTTTAGGTGCCGCTCCCGAGATGCAGCACAAAATGTAAAAAAAGGCCAGTAGCGGCCAAATCTATCTTGCTGGCTCGTGCACGCGTTACGCGCAGCACGTACGACATAATAATTCATGCAACATCATTGTCTGTTCCATTTGTTATCAATGCGTGCCAATCCCCAGAGGCTCCGTGTCCTGGGTGTCACACATAGTTTTGACGGTGGCAGCTAGTGTACTAGGCACCGGCATCTGGCAATTTGCCCTGCAATTTGCAGCGCAACGGTACATTCCACAAACTTGCGATGCGACTAAAAGTGTACCCACGTCAATTGTGAATGTTGGCAAACAAAATTCACGCCTGCACGCGCACGACGACCGTTGCTCACAGCGCGCCGTCAACCACCATGTCTGAGACGAGACCGCGTTCACGGACCACCCTTCCCTCCGTCAAGCAGTCGAACAGACTGAGGGCACGCCAGAATGCTCGTTCTTTAACACGCGCTCGGATGGGGTCAACTTGACCCCCAAAGGTTTTTCAGGAATGGTTTCCGTACGACGCAGAGCAGCCGCGCCAAATTTCGCACAGCTGTAGACAATTAAATAGCGGATCGTTTGGAATAAAAAATTGGATTTACCTTATAAGGTCACTGACCTAGAGCAGGTCAAAGTAAGGCCATGTTTTCAGCGAAGGTAATTTCTACGGAATCCTTCAGTCTGATACAACAACGGAGTGTTAGACGAAGCCATACATATCTGAGATGCTTTCTTAGGCAGCAAGACAGTTGAATGAGCAAATTGCATTGACCTAAGGCTACGTATCAAGGTCACACCAAGGTCAAAACAAACCTGTTTTGTTACTCTAGGGCTTCCTGTATGGGATAGTTTCTGGTGCTCATTTCGAATTTATTGATAGCAGGAACCGCATTATACATCGTCCACGGACCTCCTACAGGTCGCAATAGGTCACTGACCTTGAATGGCCCAGGTCAACATTTTGTTTTAGGAGCATACTGTCATCTTTGTCGCTTAGTCAAATGCAAAACTCAAAGCAATCTTGTACGATTTTGGTCACCTTGTCCTTCAAAAGATCAAACAAGGTGAATGACCTTAAATGAACACGTGACCTTTTACTTAGAAACGGTTATCTAGGCTCTGGGACACTTTGGAGAATAACCTATAACTTGACCTTGTTTGACTTCTTTGACCCGAAGGTCATGACGTAGGACCCTGAAACTTAAACCTAAGTGAGTTCACGTACAAGTCAACACACCCTGTAAATTTAGTGCCTCTAGCTTTCTTGGTTCCTGAGATCTCAGGGGGGTCAAATTGACCCCCCATCCCGAGCGAAGGGTATCTAGCCGGTCACCCGAGCGCGCGCGTGTTGATATAAAGGCCGGGAATATGAACAAAGCCGACAGCCCGCCGCGCGAACGGTCATTTTACCCCTTAACGCCTAGGGTGTACGCCGAGAGTCGGGGCAGTAACTTGGCAGCGGTGATCATCACGGTGCCTTTTAGCGAACGGATTTGAAAACTTCTCGGCCTATCACCTTCGTATTGTGTCTTAAAGCATGTAACTTCTCGGGCAGTTAGTTTTCCGGCTGTCCATATGCGGCAAATATTCCTAAAATGGGCATCTTATTTTGGGCTTCAATCCCGTTCCTGCCGCGGCCCCGAAAATCTGTATGGTATACTGGCGTGACGGAGCGCGTAAGCCGTTTTATGGGACGTAAAGCCGCAACTGCGGCATAATAGCAAAAATCGCCATGGCAAAGCCGAGGCCTGCAAATTAAGTCGCCATGAAACTGAGGCCGGGCCATATTCAAAGGATACTGTTCGAAGCCCCCAGCCAGCAGCAGCAGCGAGATCTTTTGAAACCTCTTCTAAGGCCGCAGGGTATCTCCCAATCGCTTTGAGCTCGGATTCGGCATTGAGCTCCATCACATCAATGCCTTCGACTATGTTATAATGACGTGGGTTGTACGTCATTATAACACCCTCAGGTGTTATAATGACGTTGAAACTCGCAAAGCACAAGGCGTGCATGTATTTGTGAAACGATTACGTGACAGTTTTCATTTTCTTCCGCTCTTGTTGTCCTTCTCTAGTGTTAAATCACAATTTGCTCAGATCTCATACCAGTAAAATTTCCTGAACTATCCTGCTTCCCATGCGTAGCATGTGCCCTAAAGCTTGCCAAAACAGTGTTTTTACCTGTCTAGAAGGCTGCTCTTTGGCTTTAGGAATATACAATGAACCGGTTTGAAGAGTGTTCCACATTTATATGAGGTCCTGAACTGAAATAGCCTCTTGAAGACCTCTAGGTGTTGTTCACAATTCGGTGCTGTTCACAACCGTCCCGTCTTTTATGCACCCTTATGTTGATCACGTTTCAAAAACTGTCGCTGGCAAACGAGCCTAGACTATGGGGTTGCATGACGGCTTTTTCGCCGCGACTTCACTTTCATTTCATTGATAAAGGCAGCGGTGACGTAAATCTTGTCACACGAAAAAGCCGTCATGGAAACCCATAGTCTGGGCCCATTTGCGAGCGGCATTTCTTAAAAATGTGATCAACATCAGGGTGCATAAGAGACAGGACGAACCGGCCGACACGCTGGTGTAGCTTTCAACGCCAAATCACACATAAATTTGACGGTAGCGGCTTGTATTCGGCACCGGTTTTAAAACTCGGCCCATTGCAAAGTGTTTTGCAATTTGCAGCGCAACGGTAAGTTGCACAAACTCCCGATGCAACTAAAAGTAAAACCGCCTCAATTGTAAACATTGGGAAACAACATTTAGGCCTCTAGGTGCTTTGCTTGCCGAGATGTACCAGTAAACGTAAAAAATCATAAAAAACAACCGGTTTCATCTTGTCAACACGTGCACACGTACCACGTCTAAAGTGGCGCAAAAAAACACCCAAGCGTCATGCCTCATTACATGCTCTGTTTACAGTACATTACATGCCTCATTACACGCACTGTGCAAGTTTCGTGTCGCTGCGACCCTTGGTTATCGAGATGCGGCTCCGGGAAGCAAAACGTATCGGGGCGTCGGCCGGCCATCTTGAAATTGGCGTCGCCCGTTTTAATCCTATGGGATTTTTGCGCTCTTTTTTCGCTCGGCACGCGCTCATTTTTGCGAAATGTGAAATTTTGACGCGACTCTGTCACGCGCTACCAACAGACCTTGGTCGTGGGAAAATTTCATGGAAAAATTCCCAACCGTTTAGCAACCGTTTTCACTGGGATCAGCCTGAAGGTGATCCCAGTGAAATGGCGCGCGCGCGCACACGCACGCACGCACGCACGCACACACGCACACACGCACGCACGCACGCACACACACACACACAGACACACACACACACACACACACATACACACACACACACACACACACACACACACACACACACACACACACACACACACACACACACACACACACACACACACACACACACACACACACACACACACACACACACACACACACACACACACACACACACACACACACACACACACACACACACACACACACACACACACACACACACACACACACACACACACACACACACACACACACACACACACACACACACACACACACACACACACACACACACCTGTTTGTAAGCCCTCCCAAGTGGGGACCGCGCTAGACTACTACAGAGTGGGGACCACTTACACACCTCTTTAAACATGAGCTAGCGTTACGAAATTAACATCTTAGTGCTGCTGAAAACCCGAAGAGTGCGATGGTAAGCATCTCGTAGGTCTAGCGATAAGGGATCAATATCCGTAGGATGCTGCGAAGCGGGGACCAGCTAATATGACGTCAAAGGTGCGTCATACGCCTTACACTTATCAAGCTATGGACCGGTCTCCGCATTGTAATGTGTATCTAAATTGCCCTCATTTATGGCATGAAAAGAAAGGGAATTTGGGTGATAACGTCGCTTCGGTCACGTTGGCGAACAAAGTGACAGGGAAATGGAGCTTGGTTGCTGATGCCTTGCTTGCACATCCTTTGTTTTGGAAGGAGCCGTGATATTTATGTTGACCTGTGCTATATCATGTCATATTTGTATTATATTGTATTATATTGTTATATCTGCATTATATTGCAGTATATACTGCTATATTTGTAGCTTATTGTAATGTTATGTGATGTTCCCATTATGCTGCATTATATTGTTATATTTGATTATATTGTATTATATTATGTTATATTTGACGCATGGCAAGAGCTACACGCAATTTTTCGGTTTGCAACAGATGATTTTCACTTCTTATGCCTACTTTTATGCTACATGTTACGCCTTGTTCATTACAGTCCAAAATTATGTCTCTTCGTCTGCGTTCGAAACTTTTTCCAACAAGTGGACGCCAAAACTTTGTCAAGACAGGACGCACAACATTGTGTGCGAATTAAAAGTTGCCAAACTATGTGGTATTACATCACATTAAGGCGGCTGATTTCAAAGCGTGAATAATGCGTAAAATGAGAACAGTACAAAAATCTGAACCTCCATGAATTTTTCAACATTCCGAGTTCTTCCGCTGTCTTTTCATTATCCCTGTCTTCGGTACCTGGCCGGCACCTGTCTGACCAGCCCACGGCATAGATGAAGAACAATCACAATAACAAATCACTGCCTTGGTTAGTCAGGCGACGCCATATGACCTCAGCAGGTAAGTGCGTCGTGAAGCCCCAATGATGACGACAACCACGATCAATCGATAGTCCTGATCGACGATGATCGACGAGTCCAGATCGACGACGATCTGGGGCAGGTCAGGTCAGTCAGCTATGCAGGTCACAAAATCGGTTTCAAACTTCTTGACATAGGTCACTACTGCAATCTGTGAGGCAATGTTGAGGTCTCCCGACGCGGGCTTTCTGCTATTCGTTTTAAGTTTTTGTGTTATTTCCATGTGGGGAGGGCAGCATGAGACAGCAAATCCATCAGTTCCGATCACAGTCCACCACAAACACACTCTTGTGCAAAAGGTTTCTTTTGTTTGCAAACGGGTCAAACAACCACACCGCAAAGCAGGGGTCGCAACATAACACAACAGAGGATCTAACGTCCGGAGCCTCTCGAGCTTGCAGGTAAAAGAACATTGCCACCGCAAGGCAGCGATTGCACACAACGCAGCAGGGGATCTAGATATGGAGCATTCCAAGCTTTCAGCTGAAACTACATTTCCATGGTACACTTGTGCTTCTGGATCACATTGTATGTACAGAACTTAACATCCTTCCAGGAACGCCGACACAGTGCAGACTTCTCCTTCAGTGCCGCTAGGCAGTCTGCCATTCCTGGGCACTTCAGAGAACCGATAAATGGCTTCATGCGCCTCTGTATAGCCTCCTTTTCTCTTTCAGTCCACAGCACGCCCCTCCTTTTGGCTTTGGGCCTTCTTTCATTAATCCTTGGCCCCCTGGGTGGTCCGTTTTCTGCTTCAGCTTGGGGATCGGAAGCCATCCCTTTAGCGTTCTTCACCCCCATCTCCACTCCCATGTCGTCAGGGGCAATAATGCTAGCGCTGTCGTTTATGTCGACACTGGGAGCGGAACCACCTTCGACGACATCGTAACTGCTGGGGTCAGGTCATCCAGGGTCTTCCCTGCGAATCCGCCGATCCCTTTGGCCATCGCGAGTAGTATTTTACTCACTTTGGCAGCATGCACCGTCTTTTCGGGAAGTCTATAGAGCTGCCTGTGGACCCGTATGTCATGGCCTATAAAGCGGGCCACGATATCCATTTCAATCTCGCTCAGTTGCAGCAGCTGCAGCATAGTAGCCACATGCTTTCTGTACTTCGTGACTGTGATGTTGTTGACACGTGCCCTCCGCGCGAATGTCCGCGCGCAGTCGCTGCCTCTGAGCATGCTCGCAACTGGGGCTGCGCTGTTGAAGAAAATGTGTGGACAGTCGAGAGGAATCCCAACGTCTTTCCTCGCTGCGCTCAGCTGATCAAGCGCCCCTCGCATTGTGGCTGTCAGCATGATGGGCACATCGCCTCCTTTTTTGCTCCGAACCACTACATCTCCCAGCGAATGGCATAGTTCTCGCTCTTAGGGAGACAGGTGCTGCAGGACATCTTCATTGAGAGTTTGGTCCCTTTCAGCGTATGATCTGACCGTAGGCCTTGACGCTTCTCCCGGCCTTCGCCGGTTAAACAAAATGATGGGTGCCATCGCAGTCTCCGACAATTTAACATAGTTCTTGATAGAGCGTTCCTCTTCCAACAGCCGCTGAGCCTGCACCAACTCATCCCGCACCTCCTTCGTTACACTCTGAACATCCGCATTGAGGGGAAGGACGACGGGCTTATTCCACTTCCTTTCCTAGAGAGTGGTAAGCGCACGAGAAGACACGTGTAGCTTCCAATCTCGTTGGTAGAGCAGGAGGAAATCGTCCGCAGCCGTCCTCGGGGTGGCGTCTTCGTTGGTGATCCCGCGCGTTTTCAGTATGCGCGCGCATTCGCTGAGGCCATAACCAAGCTTGAGAGCAAGCGATAGGCTATGATATTTGCCCTCCTTCACACCGGCCATGTTCTTGACCGCGCCTACCACTTCCATGAACTTCGCGGGGTGAATAAACATATCTAGACCTGATCCTGGGCTTGATGCATTCAGCTCTAGCAGCAGTCGTCCCAGCTGCCGCATTTTTTCTCTGATGTGTGCATGTTAGTGGCGCTCGTGGCCCAATCTTGTGTATAGACGGGCCCCGAACTCCATGATAAAGGCATCATGCCTGCAAGTGGACGAAATACTATCGTCTCGCATCTTCGCCATCAGGTTTTCTAAACCAGCCGCGGCATCTCTGTGGCACGACAGCAAGGATCTTCCCTGGGACTGGACTCGGCCCCCAGAGGCAGTTTTCCCATGGGCGTGGCACCGATGCCGAAAGAGGCCGCGTCTAGAAAAGACACCGTGAAATTTCCCACATGGCAGCATATCTTTCACGTTGACTTTCATATCTTGGGGTGGACGCCTCCCGGGGACGATCGTTCCTCGCCCATCTCGGAAAACAGCAGTTATGTTTGAAGTTGCCTTTATGAATGATACTTTCCAGAGTGATTCTCCTCTCCCTTGATCCTTTTGGAAAGGCGAGCGCGTCAAGTACGTCGGGTTCTCGTTTATGCTTCCGGAAAAGATGGCGTGCAAATTTGGTGTGCAGGGTATCACAATAGGGGCAAACGTTCCGCTTTAGGGATGGCTTTCTTGCTTTAGGAGATTTTTCAACAGAGACACTGTGTTCGCCGGAAGCCCTACTGCTGTTCTTGGCCACTACCTGGGCCTCATCCTGGTCCTCGTCCTCGTTCTCGTCTTTGACTTCCTCCATATCCTGGTTCTCGTCCATATCCTTGGACTTGCCCTTGTCCTCGTCCTCGTCCATGTCCTCGTCCATGTCCTCGTCCTCGTCCTCGTCCTCGTCCGTGTCCGCTGCTGGCCGTGGGTCGGGGAGGTACGTACGACCTTCATCTTCATCGTCATCAGGAATGAGGCCAGAAGCATAATTATCATGATCTGCGGACAGACCGATCGCCATTGGTTACCTAATGACGAGTATTAAGCAAAAACGAAAACAAAAAACCAGAACGTCGGAAGCAGGATCGTTCGAGTTACTCAACGATGCGCTACAGCGCCAGACCCATCGGAGTTGCGATTCTTATGCCGAGGGGACCGAGACACAATGCGCCGGTGGTCAGAGGCGAACCAGGGTACTTCGGGCTCCGAAGCCAACGCCTTAGCCAACTAAGCCACATGGCCAAGCGGCTGTTTAACCAAGGGGACCTCGATTCATGGGGCGTCGGTCTACTGACCCCGCTCGGTGCTAGGGTGCGGGCAAGTGCATGGTTGGCCACAGTTACTCTGTGATGCCTACTACATGGGATCACGTTGGTGCGTGTGTCCATGCGCATGTTCAAATTCTATGAACAGTTTCCTTCATGGACGGAACAAAAATGTTCGTGATGACTGGTATCTTGGCAAGTACAAAAGAACCACTTCTATCTTCTTCTATCCAACTAAAAGCAAGCAAAAAACAATGAAGACACACAAGCTGCAAAACGTTACGAAACAAAGCAATGAGCAAATTTCCCCCGCAGAGCAGTTGGGATTTGCAGCAATGACAGACAGTCTATGCCATGACACATTATTTTGTTAGGTGGTATCTACCACTGATCAGTTTTAAACCCAAAACAGAGCACAATCACCCTTGGTTGCTACACCTACTTTCAAAGGGCACTGTGCGATCTGATGCTCTCAGCTTATGCTGCTGCTCACGCTTCACTCAATGCTTTAAGAAACATTTTTTTAACCATGCACCAACGTTTCTCAAAATATGACCGGATTAGGCTCAGAGGCACTCTTTCTCTCGAAACCCATGTAGGAACTCTGAAATAAGTAGAAAAACGTGAGAATGCACGCCAATTAGGCAAGCAGAAGACAACTAGTGACCAGGAGTGGCACACGGAAAAACTTGAGGGGCCCTGGAGTGGCCAGAACGGGCCTTAAGAATAGTCAGATAATTCTGCATTTGTAAAATCGAGCAAAGAAACGTTGGCTGTTATTCTATACGACCATTTTCTCATGCGCGAGGAAAGAAAGCATTTAGGAGACCCTGGAGTCACCCTGGAGACCCGTTTCATCACATTTCATGACGCTATTTTCATCGTACAATCATACCCTCGCCCAACGATCATAACACATCAGCATGGAAGACGTCAGGGCTGGTTGCTAGCATCGCCGAAAAGCCACGCTTTCCCAGGGCACGCTCATAGGTATAGACAGCTCACGTGTCTTTGGTTGCACCACTGCAAGACATGGGTAAGAGAACCGGGGATGAATAGGGGCAGGGGCTAAAACCTGCATGTTTCTGAAAATTTAGCATTGGTCCTTTGCGCGTTCACTGCAAAAATAGTCCATTGACTACCATCTTTTGCTTGGTTGGGTAATGGGCCGCTGGGCGCATGGGTCGTAGGGTTTTCCTTCGCACGCACATTGGTCATGGGTTTTGTCGCGGTCTTTGGAGAAAGGGGATCGGACAGCCCGTTTGCCTCCCATCTCGGCACCGCCCATGCTCATTTTCAGGTAAGTATAACAATGTATATATCGGTTTATTCATGCCCTGAACAGCTATGCCAAGAAACGCACAGACGAAGCACTCAGGTCATTCAGTCTTTCATTGAATGCCTTAAAAATCGGCTCACGGCTGTTCAAACGAAACGCAATGCACGAGTGTCATTCACTGGGGTCCTACCAACAAGGACCACTTGTTAGCTCGATGAGATCGGGACACTGTATGCTCTTACCTGAAGCCACTAAACTTCACCAGTATAAACATGCCATCTTTGCTAGTGGCATGCTGAATAACTTCAAGCGGTGTGATTGGTGCCTGTAACAGTGAGCACGAGCATTTGTAAAACACAACACATGTTCGTTGCCTTTTGACTGTACCAAACAGGTAGAGAAACATACGTTAAGCCGCGCGTATAGGAAACCAGACGTACGGGGTTCGATTTGCTGCCTGGTCCAGCCTTCCTGCCAGGGCAGACGCCATAAACTGGGAAGAGAAGGCTGACCACTGAATTGGGATTGCCTGCATCACAAGTTGGTGGGGAGTTAAAGTCGTCCACCGGTAAAGGAAACCAACCCCCTGCAAAAACACGTAATCCAGACATATGCGAGACGCGCGTCAAGATTACCAAAGATCAATCACGCAAAACCCGTCAAACCTGTTCACGTGTCTGTTCACACATAAAATGCATGAATACGATGTCATCAAGTCTATGTACCAAAAATCTATCAGTTCCTGGAGTGCCACCTTTTTGGCCGCCATGCTTTCTTCCATGAAGTGAATGCCACTTTCCATCACAAGCCAGCATTACATCACTCGGTCAAGGGACGTTGTTAGAAGCGAACACTTTATTCATCGCAGGTCTCCAAATCGCAAGGGCAAATAATACAGATTTAAGAGGAATGGCAAATGAATGGCTTTCTTAAAGATGGGTAGGAGACGGTAATAAAATGATGAGACGAATCTCACATTGCTTGTACTTGCTAAGTATTGTGTGTCGCGTATACCCTGAACCCACCACCAAAATAGCGTCATGTTTGTTTTCATGCCAATCAGACCCACTGACCCTAGCGTTTAGAGCCAGTACACCGATTATGTCATATCGGTAACACCTGACCAGCCCGAACGAAAGCCAAAGGCTTACTAAGTATGAAACAGAAGGCGTTTTAAAATGTTTCACTCGATCAACCCGCGCGCTTGCGTATGAAACAGAAGGCGTTTTAAAACGTTTTACTCGTTCAGCCCGCGCGCTTGCTAAGCAGTCTAGGCCGTTTATCTTACACTTTTGTAAATTGACATGCGGAAAGAATGACCATTCAAAGCATCAATAATTATTGGCAAGGTGGTGAAATACTTGCATCTGGCTGTCGACATTTCATAACTGCTAATGCGTGCTAAGGATGAACCAAAAACACCCAAGATTAAATGTACATCATTCTTCAACTTTTGAACAGCACTTTTGAACAGCACACCGGTACCGACGATCAAAGGCCTGTTTGGGGGGGTGTAAGGGTCTAAAGAACTGACTGTAGGTCACGTAAAGAATCGCGGCCCGGAGGGTCGTGACTTAAAATACTACTCAGAGGTCCCCTTGCATCGATTTAGGATCACCCCCTCCCCCCCCCCCCCCCCCCTGAGACAATCGGTCCGAGACCACGAACACCGAACAGTCGGCTCCATGTCCGTCTGAGCCCTTGAGACCCATTTCCCAAGCAGAAACAAGGCCGGGGCCCGCGATTTGTAATGTTCGGGGTCCCTGGTACAATGAAGGGCTTCTGTGTCGGTTAGGAGCCACCGTCTCGAACTGTGGCGGCAAGTGGCCCCGAGTCAGAGCGATTTTGAGGGGGCCCAAAGAGGGGCCGAAGGGTCTCTCGACACCAAATATGGACCAAAGACTAATATAAGAGACCAAATACTAATATAAGATTAGAAGAGTCCGAAGGGCTGGCTGTAGGTCACATTAAGGGCCCCCGCTCGTAGGGCCGTGATCTCAAATGTCAGTAAAATGATCTTTGGCACCGATGGAGACCCCTGAGACAGAAAACTCCTCTATTTCGGTCAGAGATCGCAAACAACGAACTGTCAGTTCCGTGCTGGTCTGAGCTTAATAAGAAAAAACATGTCTTCGATAACAAATGGGTCATATGAGGTGATTTGGGGGGGGGGGGGGAATTTTACTATCAGGGTGTCCTCTGTCAATCCTGTGCCCCCCCCCCCCCCCTTACGAAACCTCTGGCTGCGCCTCCTGCTGCTCTCTGTTGGTCAAAAAGTACACGTTAAGCTTTTAGTTTGTGATTTATCTAACAGAGTGGACATATTTTCGTCTGATTTTGGTACTTCCTTTGCAGGCTACGCCCTTGATTTAGCTGCTTTCCAGCAATGCCACAAATCACTACAGTCCACACATTATGGTAGGTTAAACTATGTTTTGCCTGAAATTGAGAACATAGAGGGTGGGAAGCATATGCAATATGCACATTTTCAAAAGATTAATGAGTTGGGCCAGGTACCTAGTGTATTCTGTGTTATCTCATGGAAACTGAAATAAAAACAAAAGAATTGCACCTCCAGGTTACAAAAGACTGCTACATCAAGCAGCTGTGGAAGGGTCCAAGGACTGCATTGGTCGAAAAGTTGAGTTTTGATGTTTTATTAACTGACATATCATTCTGACATGACGTGGTGTGAGCAGGCAGGAAAAGCTATTTGCTCCCCATGACGTGGAGGGCCACAAGCAGATTAGTCTGCAGATCACTATGCTTTTAGGGCCATGCTGGTCAAAGTTGCATTCATTCTGAAGTGATCAAGCACGCATTAATTGCAGTTTCCAAAAAGCATGGCTGTTCACATCTCGTGTGTTGATCTGCTGGTTAAAAGGCTTTAAGGTTTCCTGCCATCACTACTCGATATCAGGGTTCACGTTTCCTATTCCGTTAGGGAAGGGGGGTTCTAGGCCCCTCCCCCCTCCGAAATCAAGCTACAGCTGTCAACTAAGAAATGAAATGGCGCCAAATTCAGAGAGAAATTGGTTTGTTGACGATCTTTGGGTCAGGCTTCATCATTTCACAAGTTTTGGCAACCCCCGCCCCAAAGACCCCCCCCCCCCCCCCCCCCTACTCACTTTATGTACCTACGCCCCCACTCAGTGCATGCAGGTAAGGTGAGAATGGTGCACCCCATTGAGGGGTAAATGGGAACATGAGGTGAAAAGCACGCTGATGCCCCCCCCCCCCCCCTCTTCCCGTCGACAATTACATGGGATGCAACGCTAAGACGGCCACACAACCACCAAGTTGGAAGAATTTGCATTGCCCCACATAACGCTGCGCACCTAATGCTTGCCCCCTTCCTCCTTCATATCTACAGAGGTTTCAACAGAAAACTGCCGCACCGCAACCAAGTTGGAAGAATTTCCCTTGTCCCTGATACTGCGGTGCACCCGAGTACGAGAAACTTCATGCACTTAAAAAACAGAGCTTCCAGTAGAGAACATCATGCAGTTATCAGTACTTACCATATCTTGACAGCCCACAGGAACACCACTAAGTACCACGCAGTAATATCTCACGTCCCTTGATCGCGTGACAAGACGCCAACCGAGCGACGCGACACCTCCACGGCATTCCAACTCGCGGCCAAGGTCTGCCATAACAATCAGTAGTGATGGGTACTACACATGTGCCCCGCCAAACTATATGATTGTTAATGTTTGGTCATTATTAAACGTCTTAAGGCATATAAAAATAACTATTGTTTATCATTTAGTTACTACAGTCAATTCTGTCTTGTGACATCAACACTACATGGTGCGTTCAAGGTGACAACAAGATTAGCACATCTCTATTCAAAGATGACGTCACACATTTCAGTCGAAAGGCGAGAAACTTCTCCGGCGGATTTGTGTAAGTCAACCTAAGTCACGTGACTATGAAACATACACTTGGCGGACAAAACCTACCATGTCGGGACCTCTAAGGGATTGATACCAGACCAATACCTGGACGAAATTAGCGTTTTCCAATGGTTTGCAAAATGAGGACCGATTTTCGGCCCCCACCTTGAAAACGGTCCTCACCTTGCGTGAGTGTAGCGGACTTCGGTCCCCACTTAGGAGGGTTTACAAACACACACACACACGCACACGCACACGCACACGCACACGCACACGCACACGCACACGCACACGCACACGCACACGCACACGCACACGCACACGCACACGCACACACACACACACACACACACACACACACACACACACACACACACACATTGTTCCTTTAGTAATACAGAAGATGAGCTGACTTCATCACATCCACTGGATCTTAAGATTTGATTTTATTACATCTTCAGTATTTTCACATGTGGAACATTCCCTTTAAAGCGAATGCTCCACATCTGAAGATAATGAAGCAAGCATCAGATATAATGGAACAGGCGCACTCAAAACTATTGGTGTACTTTTTAACTGGAAAGGACTGCCCCAGACAGCACAGATGTCTGTTCAGTAAATACGGCCTCAATGCGTCATAGCTTGGTTTCGCTAACGTACCTTACGCAGCATTGATTAAGAGCCAATTGACGGCCGTTATATCTGCGGATCGCGCTCACAAACGCCAGCTATGAACACCTCGACAACTGCATTTTTATTGGCCTTGATCACCGCATGGCTCATGGAATAGCAGGATATGGATGACGTTGTTTAGACGTCATGAATGCCAAGGTGACTGAAATGCTCCCCTCCACCCGATATACTTTTCCCATTTTCGCGGGCGTTTAGCCCAGAAACTAGACGGGCTTAGGCCTTAAGAAGGGCAGGATTGTGAACATCAGCGACAGGTCTCCGAGAGGCTATTTCAGTTCAAAACCCCACATAAATGTGGAACACTCCCTTCAAAACGATTCATAGTATATTCCCAAAGCCAAGGGACAATCTCCTAGACAGCTAAAGACACTATTTGCGCAAGTTTTCAAGCACATGCCATGCATGGGAAGCAGGAAACTTCAGAAAATTCTATTGGTATGATATCTGAGCAAATTGAGATTTAACACCAGGTAAGGACAACAAGAGTGGAAGAAAATGAAATATGCCCCGTAATCGTCTCACAAAAACATGTACGCTTTGTGCTTTGCAAGTTTCAACGTCATTATAACATCTGAGGGCCTCTTAGAAAATGGCGTGCACAATCAAATCGGCAGTCATATAAAGCTGAAGTCAAAATTAAAGAATTCTCCGAAGCCAAAATCCCAGCCAGTCAATGAAAATTACACAGCATAAGTCATTATGTGTACATCACATATCATCATATGAAAAGAGGGTGCCATAACTGAAAAGTAGGTATAAAGTATATCGTAAATGAAGAGGGTGCCACAGTCGAGGGCACTGATGTGATGGAGCTCAATGCCGAATCCGAGCTCAAAGCGATTGGAGAATATACTGCGGCCTTAGAAGAGGTTTCAAAAGATTTGCTGCTGCTGCTGGCTGGGGCTTCGAACAGTATCTTGAATTATGGCGGCGGCTTCGGCTTCATGGAGACTTTATTTGCAGGCCTCGGCTTCGCCACGGCGATTTTTGCTATTATACCGCAGTTGCGGCTTCACGTCATAAAACGGCTTACCCGCTCCGTCACGCCAATGTACCATACAGATTTTCGAGGCCGCGGCAGGGACGGGGTTGAAGCCCAAAATAAGATGCCCATTTTAGGAATATCTGCCGCATATGGACAGCCGGAGAACTAACTGCCCGATAATTTACATGCTTAAAGACACACAAGACGAAGGTGATAGGCCGAGAAGTTTTCAAATCCGTTCGTTAAAAGGCACTGTAATGATGAAGTTTCTCATAAAAGTGACCGAGTGGCTAAGATAACCCATGTGGTGCGGATGTGGTTCGGCAACTAACCCGGCTCATCAGTCCTTTGATGTTCATACTGCATAACCTTGTATGCACGTGAGGATGTTAAAATGATCATTCCATTCCTATGACATTTTGTATTGAAGAAACACTGAACTAACGGATTGGACGCAATACAAATGTGTTACCAAAAAACATCCAAAAGATGTTGCGTTTTCTTAATTTTATGATTGCTACGAACAATCCGAACAAAAAACTGTGAGGGAAATGTGGTTGATATACAACTGTATTTTAAAAAATGACCTCGATGTGCAACCGCCGTCCAGAGGGGAAAAACCTACGCGCCATCAAACGTAATGTTGAGAAGCATTTTTAGGCTTCAGCAAAGTAAAGATATGCATGAAATTACAAGATTAGAAAAATAAAGTTGGAACCAGTTCGACCGAAAATTTCCTCACTTTTCAATAAACATCACAAGATGCACGTTGAACGACATAAACAACGCCGTGCCCGAAAAAATGGCGCCCGGGCCTTTCTACCTCAAGACAGAACATGAACAAGAAATATCAATGTATCACGCGTGATATATCAAGTAGCTAACACCTCCCGTTGCATTTCACTTTGGACGCCAATACTTTCAACATGCTATGTTCATGCTTCGAAACTGATTTTGACTCTTCTAATCCTGAATACTGGAAATATGGGCACTTTATAGCAACTTGTTTTTTCATTACGTAGGCTAAGATCTTGCAATAACGAAAATACTCGCAGCTGCAGCTCAATCTCAATGAAACCGCACTAAAAAAGAACTTCGCGTAATGTCTGGAGAAGCCTGGGAAACTCTTGAGAAAAGATACCTGAGTTGTCAGGACAGTGTAACGACCCATACCCATATCCCACCTTGAAAAAACGAATCCTAGCAGATCCAATCCCATTTTGGTAAATGGGTATGGCGCACATTCATGGGTGGGCACTACTGTAGATGTCCTGGTTTACACCACTTACCGTTGCTGAAGACGACACCCACCTAATACCTACCTAGTTACTCGCTACAATCACTATTTGGCCGTCCCCTCACCACGCCTATATCCCAAGGCTTTGATTGTTATGCCAGGCACCATAATATCACAATTATTGGGGGCTTTAACGTGAAGGATGTCCTACAGCTTATACGAACATCCCATGGGTTAACAACGTACGTTACACTTCAGGAAAATAATCAAAATTTGCACTGAACAAATGCATGTAATGACTCACAACACATCGATGTGTACACTGCGCTACTACTGCCGCACTTCAGCAGAAGTACCCGATCCAGAAGTCATGAAATGTGTCTTGTTAAATATTATCATGTATATACATAAATGTGGTACGATAGGTCGCTGGCAAAAGGGATCAGAAATATTTTGCATTGGCTGTATTAGCCCATAACAAGGCTTTAAGTGGAAAAAACGGAATTAAATAATGCTTTAATAGCTTTGACAAATGGTTGATGGTAGTCAAATGTGGCGCAGACTATGTTTCGATTGTCGCCCATTTTGCTTCGCATTCTGAGGGAAAGGCCGAAGGGGAGGTGTGGTTGGGGGCGTCCTGCCAGATTTCAAACGTGTAGGCTAAGGTAAACTTGTCTAGAATGATTTTTGTACTTTCAACTGTTTTGAACTGTGTTTTGTTTTTGTCTCCATAACTCATTTTGATAGATTTATTCTGGCAAGATTCCCCCAAACACGTAAAACTAATAAAGGTGTTTTGACTACGGAACTAGCCGTTACGTACCATTAGGGTCATAATTCACGCCGAGTTTTCGCCATGGCGTAATGTCTTGTCGGGTTTTGAGAAGAAGGTTATATGCATTTGCACTCATCCACGCGACGGCAGTTCCGCTGGCAACCTTTTTCGGGTATTATCAGTTTGTGGGCCACATTTACCTCATGATGTCCTACTCAGCACGCACACTTGTGGCCAGGCAGTTTATGTCATTTGGGAAACAAATAGTTGTGGGTGTTTTGGGGTCTTTCTGGATTGTACTGTGTAAGTTATTATAAGCAGAGACTGTTTTCTTGATCAATTAGGCACCACTATCACCAAGGGTTTTGTAAATATACAATTTAAGAATGCAGTTTGACAAGTCACTGGATAGGCACAGCTTTGACACCCTTCGCAGGCACAGAGGTATATGACAATGAAAGTGCAATATGCACAAGCTGCAAAGAGAAGAGTTATGACATGTTTCTGCATCTAAGCTTCTTTAAGCTATCATCTTCCAAGTATGATGTGTTACCATTTCACCAGTTTTCTACACATTGTTTCAGCAATAAGTGGGACATGCAGATGTAACAGACTCCTATGCAAAGTTGAAAGTGGCATGCCAGAAGAACAAAAAACACCATAATATTTTCCACTTGTGATTTGCTAGCTTTATGCATTGAAAGTTATTCTTTGGAAATATGAAAACTACAAGCTAATATGGTGCAAAACTTAACAGAAAAAAATTGCTGATGTTTTCAACAGTTAAATATCACATGTTCCAGATACTTTTTATAATGATTCAATGATACTATATGAGCCATACATAACATATGAATTACACTTAAGTTGCAGTTATGGGCATTCCATGAATTAGGTGTTTGTTATGTCATGCACAAATTCAGCTCTAAATTTGAGGACGAGATGTGGCCAGATGATGTTAACTGCAATGAATTTCATCAATTTGAGCCTGTTTAAAGGTCTCAAAACTTCTGTTTCTTCCATCTTCAAGAAAACTCATTTTTTGCACTGACTGGCTAAAGATTGCATTGTTTTTTGTTTCATCAAAAAGATGGTTGTTCCTGATTGTTCTCAGTGAGCATTCAGGACCTGAGTTGTGCTGCTATATCCACCGAATTGAGAGCCTTCTTGAAATATCAAAGCACACAGTCTGAAACTAGTTGCCCAAACACCACACACTAAACACAAATATATTAGGGACCTGAATTTTAAGTAAACACAATGATACATTAAAGTATAACATTTTTCTTTGGTTAAAATGATAAGATCTTTACTAATTTTAGGTTTTTATCACATTCCTTGTCATGTTATATGCTCCATATCTACACTAATGAATTCCATCAGCACCCTTAGGCTGCACCACAGAAGAGCTAATTTGGTCATCTATATGAATATGAAATGCTACCAGATCAACACAACTTTTTCAGCTGACTGTACAAAGTGGCATGGTAAAACAAAAGTATGAGGCTGACAAGGAAAAGGAGGCATGTTGGTGTCTTGTATTCCATTCACAGAAGGTGTGTTTGGCCCTCCTGTGTTTTGTGAAGGTAACAATCTGTTCAGATTATTTAGTATGTCAATCAAACTGTTGTCTTTTGGTCTTCAATATAACCTTAAGAACTTGCCCCATATAGCAGGCTCATGATGTCAGTGAATGGGCTTTGATCAGCCTTTTCTCAATTGGTAGATTGTATTTATTGGCATACATATAAGGCTTGCTGCTGTCCTGCAAGTCCTCATGTGTTCTCCCATTTTCAGACAAAATATACATCACCATGTCAACAGAGGAGGACGTTCTTAAGGTGATGAAGAAGTTGGACAAGATGATCTCCACAGAGAACTTTGATGACGCCATGGACTCGCTGAAGAAACTGCAGTCGCTGCCCATCACGCTGCAGGTGCTCAACAAGACGCGCGTCGGCATGACGGTCAACTCGCTGCGCAAGTCCAGTAAGGATGAGCAGATCATCACACTGGCCAAGTCGCTGATCAAGGGCTGGAAGAAGCTGCTCACGCCGCCGGCCGACGCCAAGAAGGCGAGCAGCGGCGGCGGCGGCGGCGGCGGCGGCGGCGGCGAGACGAGCGCCAGTCGGGACGTGGAGATGCCGGCCGCGGCGCCCGAGAAGGAGGCGGTGGCGCGCTTCCCGCCGGCGGCGCCGCCCACCGGCGACGCCGTGCGCCTCAAGTGCCGCGAGATGCTCTACAACGCGCTGCGCGGCGACTCTGTGCCCGACGGCAGCGGCGACCCGGAGGCGCTGGCCGAGCGGCTGGAGGCGGCCATCTTCGCCGAGTTCAAGGCCACCAACGCCAAGTACAAGAACCGCGTGCGCTCGCGCATGGCCAACCTGAAAGACCAGAAGAACGTGAACCTGCGGCTGAACTACCTGACGGGCGGCATCACGCCCGAGCGGCTCGCCACGATGGCGCCTGAGGAGATGGCCAGCGACGAGATGAAGGCGCTCCGGGACAAGCTCACCAAGGAGTCGATCAACGACGCGCAGCTGGCCTCCGTCCAGGGCACCTCCACCGACCTGCTCAAGTGCGGCAAGTGCGGCAAGCGCAACTGCACCTACAACCAGATCCAGACGCGCAGCGCCGACGAGCCCATGACCACGTTCGTCATGTGCAACGAGTGTGGCCACCGGTGGAAGTTCTGCTGAGAGAGGCCCGGGCCGGCCGCGTGGACTCCGCTACCTGTGGCCGCGCCGGCCGCCGGGTCGGCCGGCCTCCCTCTGTGTGTGTGCGTGTTTTATTGGCGGTAGGGTGGGCGCGTTCGGTGTCCGCGCACGGTGCTCGCGGCGCGCATGGATTGGCCGTGGAGCGCCGCGAGAGCTGCGCCCATTGGCCGATCACGGCTGCCGGCGGGAGCGCGCGCGATGTGCGCGGGCTCGATGAATTCCCGGTCGCGTCTCATGGGGGCATGTCGATCTGTCTGGGTGTGTTCGGCGTTGGCATGGCCGTTCGCTCTGCGTGCGGGTTCCCTGGAGAGTTTCATTGTCGCGGACTGATTCGGTTGGTCTCGTTGGATGTTATTTCGCCGCGTTGCGTTCGGCGCGCTCGCTGCGGTAGACGACGAAACAAGCAGGCGTTGTCAACTCGAATTCATCAGGCTGGAGGCGACGTTGTGACCTGCCAGCTAAAACGCATGTTCAATCGCTACGACTTGTTTGATATTTCCATTTGTAATACATGGATCATCAAAAGTTATGCGCGTTTGTTGAGTGGATCCTCAAGGAAAGCTCGTCTCAAAACGATCTGCTGCGTATTGTTATTGTCTGATGGACATTACTGACAACGCGCCGTCCCACCGGTCCCAGCCAATCACGGCGCAGTGCTGAATGTTGATGCGATGCATCGAACTTCCACCCCATCCTGAGAGCGTTCATCGGTTTCCTTATTGTTGCGTTCAGCGCGTTAAGGACGTCACGCAAGCGACACAAGCCGTCATGTGAGCCCGAACGCTGGCGTCAGTGCGCCGGCCTGCCCCGATACAGGACAGATAGGTCCTGTGACGGGCGCCACCGGCCGTGGGACGTGCGCTCTAGGAGGGAGGGAGGGGGCGGGGCACGGAGCCGCGGTGAGATTAGATTTGAGGCGAGGTGTCTGCCGCCCTGTTGCCGCGCGTGAGCCGGGGGAAGCCGTGAGTCGCAGCTGGGAGAACGGCGCGTCGCTGGCGGAGCCGTCTGTCTCTGGGTTCGCCGTTTCGCAGCGAATGGACCACAGCCGGGGCACATCCGAGCAGTGCGCGCGTGTGAGGTGGTAGTGTGTCTCCGGATCCGTATCCGGTCTGCCTGCTGAGGAGAGCACGGGATCCCGAGAGTATGCGCACAGCGAAGCCTGAGTAGACGACGCGGTGCTGCGACTACGACTGCACACGCTGCGCGTTCATCAATCCAGGCAGTCACGTCCACACCTCCCCAATGGCGGCCGTGGTGCAAGCCACTCTCGTGTCGCTGCTGCTTGCCGTCGGTGAGTCAACATCGTCTGCATAGGTCAGGCTTTGTTTTTGAGAAGGCAACCTCCTGTAACAGGGCTGTTTCCTAACTAGCATTGTTCAAAGCGGGCAGAGCATATTCTTCAGCTTTAACTGCAAGTTCCCTGGATTAAGGCGGTCTTGCCAGGACCGCCATCGCATTTCTTACCTTTGTTGGTTGACACCATCAAGCAAATCAAGTGCTTAGATAAACGGAACGCTATGACCTGCTCCAAGCACGTGTGTGTTTTGAGTATTGAAGCCTATCAACCTCAGCGTGTCCTCCGGTCATGCCCATGACCGGTATGACGGCGTCTTGTCGTGCTGATGATTGGGCGTGGCCCATGGGGCCGTCCGTCGCGATCGCCCTGCCATGGGCTGCACCAGCTCGGGCAACTTATCGCAACACTTGAACGCTAATGATTGCTCTTTAGACCTGCAGACGCTAGTGATGTCCCACTTTATTCGCGAAGTTGGCGATTTATCCAACGATTTATTCAGCGACCAGTCCCGATTTTTCTGAAAAAAGTCTTGAGGTCAATAATGGCACGAGAACATCGGAAATTATCTTTGTTTTGCAATATCATGTGACCTTCGCGGTCAAAAACTGGGTCGAAAGATGGGGAACTCGATATGACGCAAAAATTACCGGCCGATTTTAAAACTGCAAGCAACAAAATCTTCACAAGCGCAAAAACCAGCGTCCATCAAAAGATCCGGACCTCTCAAGGTTATCTTTCAAGGTCAAACTCGGGCTTAACAAACGGGAACTAATTTGACGGACGGTAGTTCTTTCTTTGGGGTATGTTCTGATGTTTACAAGCTTAAAATCGGTCGGTTGTTTTTGGGTGATATTGAGCTCCCCGTCCTTTGAGCTGGCGTTTCATTTTGAAGGGTGACCTTAAGAGGTCAGGCCTTTTTGACGGGCGCTAGCTCTTCCACTTGTGAATAATCTGATGCTTGCAATTTTCAAATCGGTGGGTATATTTTGGGTGACATTGCGTTCTCTGTCCTTCGACCCAGCTTTTAACCTCGAAGGGCACATAGCATTGCAAAACAAACGTGATTTTCCATGTTCTCGTGCCAAAATTGACCTTCACCTTTTTTAAAGACAAATTGGAACTTGTCGCTGAATAAATCGCTCACCTCACGAACATTCTCTTAGAAGACTTTCAGGTGTGCCAATGACATTGTGGGTTGCTAGAGGATGATGGAACTAGTGGACGCATAGTATAGGAACAGTGGTGTACCATGGTTTATTTACTTTTCGTAAAAATGCAGCATGAATCACGAAAGCTTAGCCCACCTTCTGAGTTGCTCCCGCACTCTTGGCCTCATAATAGATATATGATAAAATAGTATACGATGTGTGCATATTGCAATGATAAGACAGGTAGAGCTGTTCATTCGTAGTGAAGGATTCATTTCATGCGTTAGACCGATAAATTACTGCGATCCGAGCCCCCGTAGTCAACATCGGCTCGGACCTTATGGCTTCAATTGGCACGGACGAGGCAGGAACGCCTATGAAACCATAGTTTAGTAGAATACCGCTAGATGGCAGTTGCACCTCGTCCGAAGACTGGAAAGGGACAGGATAAGACGAGCATGGTTTACCCAATGAAGTCACATTCGTTTTACTCAGTTCTCTCAAGTGGGGTGGTCGCCTAGCGGGAGCTTACGTGAGGAGGACGGCGGAATCGGGGTTCAATCCTTTTGCAAGTACTTCGATTCTGGGCAAAACACAAAAATGACGGGAACTGTCAATAGACCCTATTCCACTGTTTAGTGACTGACATCGACGTCACAGCACGCTTCGGCTGAAAGGGCCATTTTGTCCCCGTGAATCACAAAACACACTATTGGTCCCCCTAGTCGCTAAGGGGATGCAACGAAGGGCCACTCGTCGGGGTGGTGGGATCCGACCCGAACTCCACCACATAATTACATCGCGGAGGACCTCATGAAATAGCGCATCCATGCGATGCGTAATGCATACTGTGGCGTTCAAACTCAGCAGAGAACCTGTATTTTAAGGCTGACGGGAGGGTCGAGACTTGGCTTTCAAAAGGACGTTTCTTTGATATTCAGATGGCCCCTGCCTAGCCTGGCTACACTGGTGAAGTGAAGCGGCCAGCTCGTGCCACAGGTCATGAGTTCGGTCCCTCGCCAGCCATGTGCTTTACCAGATGCAGAGGAAGCACAGGCACATATGCAGCGTGCTGAGCCCAGAGCAGCATTCACCGGGACGTGTGCCGGCTTTGCCTTTTGTGTAGCACGCCCAAATACCGCTATGTAGGAGGGCGTCTCTGGTGTGTGGTGTGAACCGGGGCTGGTGCAGACGCCTGTCGATGAAACAATAGATGTCGCGCGCGATGGTCCTGCTTGCTCTCCAGCACAGCCCCGTTCGACAGATGGGGAGAAGCCGTCCAGCAGAGGGCGCCCCATGGTCCTCAACCGCGCCTGGGAGAGGTACAGCACGCGCCCAGTGCGGCGTGGGCGAGCATTTCGAGGTGGTGCCCATGTCACGTACCGCTGTTCGGCCACTTTTAAACCGTTCAGCCGTTCGGGTGCTACGTGACTGGCTAACTGGTGTGATATCAAACGGCGGCTGCCGCTGGGAAAGGCTACGTCACCAGCCTTTCCAACACCGGCGGGCACAACGACAGGAGACAAACTGCTGCGTGTCGAAGCAATGCTGCGTCGCGTTGATGGCCAATAGGAAAACCATGCTGCATCATGAAGTCAAGTTGACGGAACCCAGTAGGTATCACGGACAATCTCTAGCACTATAACGTGTAAACGTATTACCAAATCAGCAGACCTTTGTTGGGATTTGATCTTGAATTTTACATCAAGAACTACTTGTGGACACTTCTGGCTCGCCTGCCGACCTGCTTAGCCTACCTCTCCCCCTCCCCTACCTGCATGAACATGCCGCCGTGTGCAGTGACTGACGTCTCTTGTGGGACATGGGCATGCATCTTGAATACACATTTTGAATACACTCATAACGATGCCAGTGCTCAAAGAGCGCATGGTTTGCGATTGTCATCATTATTGCCAGCGACTCGGTGAGAAACATGACATATTAGGTGCAAAGTTGTGCATGACGCGACATTTACTTGCGAAAGGCGTGGTCATGCGCGCTGTAGTTGGCTGTCATCCATGTAGATTATGCTAGATTACATACCAAGGTGGAATTTTCTCACCCTTGTCACGAACACGTCGCATCGGTGCACACCATTACAGATACCCGTGGTCACGCATCAACCTCTCTGTGGCCCGTTCGTGCTACTCATTTCCTGCACAAAGCAACAATCCCGTCGGTTGCATGCAATTTCCTGCACATCTGCATTGCGGTGTTTAATGAGACAACTATCTGGCCATGGTTAATGGCAATAAACTTGGCATATCATGATGATGATGATGATGATGATATCATGACGATAGTATGACATATCATGATTGATGTATGATATGAGTTCACTTGTTCGGAAAAAAACATGTCGGCGTTCAGCCTGTTGGCGCACCAATTCCCAGCTAAAGCACAAGTCCACCGCTCGAGGTCTATTTTTACATTGGTGTAAGTCGACATCTTCCAGAAATGTTCTATGAAGTTTTAAAACCTCCAAGCATAATCAGTTTGCCCTTGCAGCGACCACCCGCATTAGCAAAGCAGTCAATTATGTAATGTCCCTCACCATACAGCCATTTATAATCTTAAGGTCTCATTGCTGACCAATTTCGAAACCATGGATTCTTTCGACGTGAACCAGACCACGTATCCTCCGTCACCACGCGCTGAGGTCGCTCCCATCCCCCACCTACAGTTCAAGGTCGGTCTGAGTGACCCGCTGACCTGAGCCCATGGCGCGCTTCAAACGTTCAACGCCGAGGCGAACATGGGCCAGGCCTGTCGGCGGAACACCACCCGCCGGCCGCAATCAAAGCCCTGCAGCGCCACCGACACCGCACGGCTGACGAAGCCCGGCCGGACCCGGAGAGCGGCGCGGCAGCCGATTGGTGCCGCCGCGGGCTTCAGACAGGCGCCATCGCCCTGGGGGGGGGGGGGGGGGGGGGCGCCAGCCGCCGCGGGAGTGGTGCCGCTGGCGCTGGGGCTGTCCCGCAGCTGGCAGACTGGAAAGACGCTGAGACTTTCGCGGTGACTAGAGCGGTTATCAGGATGTTGACCGTTTGAGGGGTGCTGGACGTATTGAAGACATGCCTGCATGCGCGCGTGGGTTAGTCTCGTCCGATACAACAACGCGTAATGTAAGGATGGCCGACGACTGGACAACTCCGACGCTGGCGGTCGCTGACAACGGAACAGCACGGACACGGCAGGATTTTTAACACGCGCTTGAAGTGGGGGACAAGTTGACCCCAACGCCTGATGTTTTTCCAAAATAACTTACCAACAGTGCAACGCAGTCAAGCAAAATTTTTGACAACGGCAGGTTACTAAACAATTGGTCTTTTGGAACTAATAAATTATATTTACGTAACGAGGTCGCTGATCTTGAGCAGGCCAAAAAACAGGCGAAGACATTGCTTAGGAAATTTCTCTACATGATGCGACAGCAAGGTATCGCCGACTGGAGTAATTTTTGGCGTGGATCGTAAATTAGCTGCATCAAAATAATTTTGAATGGTGAGTTGTTTTCACCTTCTAAATGATTGAATAAAATCACTGGCATTGCATGAATACGAATGACCTATTGCATAGGAAGGTATCTGGGTCCTGTGGGGAGGCCTGAGGGCACTTCGGACACCAATTGCGAGTTGAACGTCGTTTGACGTCATGTGACGTCATGACGTCGTTTGACGTCATGTGAACCAAAGGCGCGACCTGGGGATCCAAAAATTGACAGCAATAAGTTTACATAGAGCCCTGTCAATCCGATAAACTTGGCACACTAGCACTGGCACTAACACTAGTACTAAAACTCGCTCCCTTAATTTTCAAGATCTCAGATGGGTCAAATTGACCTACCATCCCCACCTCCGACCGAACTCGTCACCTTCCAACCGGTCATCAGGGAGCGTGTTATAAACGTAGGCCTACTGTTAAGTAACAGTGCCACCAACCGCCGGTAAACCGACAGCAAGCAAACCTTCAGTGTGTGCACGACGCAGAATTTCCCGATTGCTTAAGAAACTCGTGTTTCAGCATGTTAAACGAGGCCGGACATCGACTTGCACGGTACGCAGAGCGTCCGCAAAGCCCGTTTTGTCGGTGCGGCCACGTACGGACAGCCCGGTCTGTCGTTAGAAATAAGCATCAGTCACTGCTCCAACACGGGTACTACCCTGTTCTGCATGCCGAGCTGGCGCTCCTCCACAATGGCAGCGCCTGAGCCCAACTGTCCCACACCGTCCGCTGCCGTGGAGCATCCCCCGGCAGGGCAGTGTGTCTCTGTCTCTGCGCACGATACCGTCAGCCCTGCGGCTGCCGGTGTGGCTGCCCGCCGGCGTGGCTGCCAGCCAGTGGCCGGTGTGGCTGCCCGCCCGGAGGCCAGGTCAGCGCCCTGTGCGGTGTCCGCCGTGCGCTGCCCACCCACACCGACAGATCGCACCCATCAGTCAGCGCCGGGCGCCGAGCCGGCGGCGCGGGCCACGACCTCTGGCTCCCAGACGGCGCGACGACACAGCGGCCAGCCGTCTGTGGTCTGAGCCTGCTGGGCCGGTCGTCTGTGCTCTGGGTCTGTTGAACCGATGTCTGTTAACTGGGCCTGCTGAGCCGGCGATCTGTGGTCTGCTGAGCCGACTGTCTGTGGTCTGAGTCTGCTGAGCCGGCGATTTATGGCCTGCTGAGCCGGCCGTCTGTCAGCTGGGCCTGCTGAGCCGGCGATTCGTGATCCGCTGAGCCGACCGTCTGTGGTCTGAGCCTGCTGAGCCGGCGATTTGTGGCGTGAGCCTGCTGAGCCGGTCGGGCCTGCTGAGCCTGTCTGTCGCGTTCTGCCCTGCTGAACACGTCATTCATGCTCCGGGCGTGGAATGATGACGTCAGGAGGGACTGACCGATTATGAGCTCATTTTACGAGGCCCTGGGTGCATGCTGTTTAGCATCGCAGTGCACTTAGGTGGCAAGCTTGTGACTCATTGCCCGTGCAGGTGGTCAGCTACAAAAACGGCCGGCGCTGCGATAGCATAGTGTCTAGTAAATAATTCGAACAGTGTTAGGAGTGTCACTCTGACAGCTCTGGATTGTAAGATATATGCGTTCCGGTTTTTAAACACGAAACGATTTATCATTGTCGTAAAATATGATAAACACATGAGGAGTAGATTGGTTCCATCCATTGCAAGAAGTGCATGTGGTTATTGAGCTGTTGCAAATTAGACTGCAAGCACAGGCAGAAAGAATTGAAAGGGAGAAGTTTCGGAGCTTCTTTAACGAACGCGATTGTCAATTCCGATCTAACCTGTGTGCGGTCGCTTAGCGTTAAGTCGTAATGCCCCCCGGGCACTCGGAGGAGGCTAACACTTCCTGAGCTCGTTTCTGTAAACGTGAGTGGGAAGCTTCGAATCGGCTTCTGATGTGGGTCGTACCTGTCGTCCTGGCTCTGGCCCGCCATTCCGAGCTGTTTCCCAAATGGTGGGCACTAATGTTCCACACGGCGCTGCGTGGCCTCTAGCGTACGGTCAAGGCCGCGACAAGCCCGCCAGTGATATGTGTTTTTCAAAGCTGTCAGTGAAGTACGAAAGGTTTTGTCGGTTTCAAATTTGAAGCTTACCTGTCAATCACGGCTCTATCTCTTGAGCCTGACAGTCACTTCCGCACCGAGACCGGCTGAGGCAGAGGACATATCATTATGAGAACGTAAACTTGCGGTTTGGTCAAGCCGGTAATATAAAATACTTGGGAGAAAGACTGTCTTCCATCACATCTTGCTTTCGAGCACACGTTCTCTTGAACAAAATATATGGGGGAAACGTACTTACACAGACTTGATGGATAAGAACAAGCATAACAATATCCTGCGCATGTAGTCTTCTTCGTGGTGGGAAAGAAGCGGCAGCAAAACAGTTCCGCCGGAGTTTTTCCACAAAGCCCTCGCTTCCGCGCCCTTTGTCACAGCCCACAACGACCTGCGGACCCAAACGAATGAAATTGGTATCATTTGTTTCCCGCGACAGGCGGCCTGCATTCTCTCGCACCCTCGCGAGGGGCGTACCATCAGGGGGACGACGTTGCTGGGGTCGCGGCGGCCGGCCGGGCCAGCGCGGCTGTCTCGACTCTCCGCAGAAAAATGTGGCTGGCCTTTCCGTTTGCCCATGTCTTTTGTCAGTCAGCCTCACGCCACGTGTAATCAAGTAACGTTTGGTTTTGTGAAGCAATGATGATGGAAATTGTGCTCGAAAGACGTGAAAGCGCTGGCAGAAATAGCTAAAACAAACAGGAGTGGTTGAAGTGAAAAATAGTAAATGTAACAGATCGTAAAAGAGTAAAAGTAAAATGCTGAGTGGAATCCTGGTAGGCCTGCCAAGGCAAAACGCCCATAACTTTAAAAACGTGGACCATGGCCTAGTATTTTGGGGTAGATTACATCATGCTTCACTGTTCAGCCCCCCCCCCCCCCCCTGAACTCATTTTGTGAGCTATGCCCCTCCCTATCACTCACTCAGCATAAATCACGAAAGAGCTCAGCCGCGAGAGCAAAGCATAAGTCCATGCACGGAAGGCGATTGGCTTAACACATTCTGTTGTCATTTCAGCGTATACCAGCGTCCCGCCAGATGCCACGCCGAGCAGTGCGCAGCTGGCCACTCAGGAGCCGACGCTGAAGCTGCCGACAGCTGCAGGTCCCGGAGTCCAGGAAGTCCCGCGGCTGACAGCGCAGGGGACGATGCTGAAGCTGCCGACAGCTGCAGGTCCCGGAGTCCATGAAGGCCCGCGGCTGACCACTCAGGAGCCGACGCTGAAGCTGCCGACAGCTGCAGGTCCCGGAGTCCAGGAAGTCCCGCAGCTGACAGCTCAGGGGACGACCCGGGAGTCATCGCCGGACCAGGAGCTGACAAACCTGGAGCCAGCGGCAGGTCAGGAGAGTCAAGAGGACCCGCAACGGCCCGAGCACGGGCGTGACGTAAACCAGGATTCCTCGGAGGAACGCATCCTGTCGGATGGTGAGCCAGAGCTGGAGGTCGATCCGCTTCATACCGAGCTCGGCGTGCAGATTTCCGAGAAAGGGATTGAAGAAACCAGCTGGCCAGAACTCAATCCTGAAGGCGATGTTGAAGCAGATAACCCCCCAGCTGCTCCAGACCGTATCCCAGAACCGATTGATAAGATACAGGCAAGCCGGGGGCTCACGCCGTCGGGAGAGGCCGGTCTCGAGATTGGCGACGAGCCTGCGTCGGAGCGCCGGCAGCCAGCGGTGCAGAAGGCCGCTCAAGCTGACCCGGATGTGACCGAGCTCGACGTACAGGCCCAGCCGGCGTCTCGCCAGGACCACCTCGAGCCCGGCATCGGCCTGCAGCCCGGCCTGAGAGCTGCTGGGGGTGCCGACGTGGCTGAACGCCGGCTTCAGTCGGCCCCGAGCGTCCCGCAGGATCACGAGCCGAGGGAGCTGGAGCGGTCCGACCCCGTCTCGCTCGTCAGCCGACCGGTGTCCTTCACGGTTCGAGTCGGGGGCTCGCTCACCCTGCCCTGCCGACGGCGGTCCGCAGGTGCGTGACCCGACCCCCCGACCCCGCCTGACCTCGGCGCCGCAGGGCAGATGCGATGTTAGCGACGGGGCCGCCGTTTTTGTCCTCCTCACAGCCACTATTTGTTGAAAGCGCAGCGCACGCCATAGGGTCATTTTCGTGTGGCCACGCCCATACCTCTGCACGCTCCCGGCTACTCTTCATTTGTGAAAACAGCCATCCCACTTCAATGAATGTCACATGAATGCATCATCGAGCTAATCGGATGCTCTAATAAATAGCCTGATCGGTAGTTTGGGTAAAACGAGGCCAGCCATAAAGTGAGGCAGCTGTTCATCACATCAATCGATCAAAGGTCATTTACTCTGTTAGCCTGCGAAGGACCCAGGCGCTTGCCCTGGTTGTCAATAGACATTTCCAGAGCCGCCTAATCCAGCACAGCATGCTTCATCTGTGGCCTCTCTGTAAGCCACTCTGGTCGCCCCCCAGACGGCGCGCGCAGTCTGGCGTGGCTGCATGAGGGCAGGTTCCTGGTGAGCAGCGGGACGCCGGTGTCGCAGGACCTGCGGTACAGCCTGCTGCCCGACGCCGGACTGCGTGTCACGAACGCCGGGCCACAGGACAACGGCACCTTCACCTGCAAAGTGTACGGCGATGCCGGCCATTTCCAGGCCTTTGCTCACCGCGTCCATGTGCTGGGCAAGGCGAGAGAGAACGCACAGCTGGAGGGTGAGTGTTGCATTCGTCTTCAGCTGGTTCGCTCATGCCTGCAGTGACATGTTCAGGAGGGCCATGTGGATGACGGTGTTAGGCGGGTAGTGAGCTTTCCATTGTCTATCCATCACGCAGACGGCCTGTGTTTTGGAGAGCAGAGTCAGCTAAGTGGCTGCTCTGTGTTCTGTCAGCCATCCAGGCACTCGCTCTCGCATGGCCCAGTAGCTAGCGAGGGTGACAAAAATGTATTCACTGCATGCCCGTGTCGTTCAAGGAGCCCGAAGACAGGGTCGGCGTCTGTCTCTCGTTTCCGTTTGCAGCACACTATCTTTTAATACCACCTTTTTGGTGAGCAGAAGCGGCATCACCGTCGGTCGTTATGTGTTCTTTCCGAAAATCCTTCCTCAAAGTCCTCAGAGTGTGTGGGCGGGAATGAAAACAGCGCTGCCGATTCGTTATATCTTTAGATCCGTAAAAATAGCGGTTTGGACAAAGCCCACACAAAAAAATAGTCATTTGGACAAAGCTCGCACTAAAAGTCTGTTCAGAATACCATCGATTATGTTCCCATCACAGTCAAACCTACTCTTCCTTCCATACTCTGATTACTCTAAAAACAGCTTGCATGCTCGCCGCTGTCGTGAATGTCTGATTGAGTGTGGCACCTCGCTGCGTGATTTATGTTCCAGAGATCTCAATGGGAGACCTCTGTTCGAATTGTTGCGGTGTGGCATTGTTGCCTTGTGGCATTGTTGTTTTGTGCTATCGCCGGTGCAGCTGTAGTACTCAAAGAACCTTTTCAATCTGAATGGAAATATTGAGCCACAGTAAGGCAGGTGTGCTGCACTTCTACTTGAAGCCCTACGGCTTTTACTAATCTGATGGCTAGTCAAGTATGCACGTTATGAAAAACCTCATACTTTCGCTGAACTGAGCCCAAGAATATCGACTGGTTTGGGAAGGGCACGAGATCCTCCATGGAACCGGCATCGGTCAGATGGAAGCAGCCATGTCGCCGAAGGCTCAGCGCCCAAATACCTCCAACTGCTTACTGTGGACGCGACTGGCAGATTCACCAAGGCCGAGGAGCCCGACCGCAGGTGTGCGGCACTGCCCCGCATGCGACTGCCATGGTACTAGCGTTGCAACCTCCAAGCCGGTTATAACGCTGGCAACCGAAACACTGTCAGCAGCGCGTCTTGAACCCGCGACCTCCAAGGCAGCGGTCCATCTCCCTTCCACGGAGCCGTACGGCGCCTCCGTGCCGCCTTCGAGCGCCGCCTCACCTGGCCTGGATGACTAGCCTCGAGGATCTTGGGGACCAGCTTCGAGGAGAGGTCACGTGACAGCGCCACAATCTGAGTCGTCCTCCCGTTTTCAGCGCCCCTGGAGGTGGTCACCCGGCCGGGGAGCGGCGTGAGCGTGGTGCAGAGGGGTCACCCAGCGACGCTCGCTTGTCTGGTGACCGGCGACCCCTCAGCGACCGTCGTCTGGACCAAGGAGGTATGCCACGCCGACAAGGCGTGAGACCCCTGGGGTACGGTTGTGTCTGGGACCGCGGCCATACCGGCAGCCTGGCGCCACGTGATGCCAGGCGTCTCGTTCACCGGGACGGCGCCGCTCTCGCCGCTTGGCGAAGACCGGTTGGAACGGCCGGAACAAGCCTGTCCAACTGTCTTACTGGTATGCCTGTAGGTACGGCGGCAGTGCACGGGACCGTACAGACGCAGTCAGCCGGGCTCCAAGGACATGGACGGAAACTAACTAACCAGCAACACCTAGACGCCTAGCCAGTTAGCGTGCGCGCCCTAGCATTCAGCACGCTGGCCGGCAGCCACTTTAGCAAAGTGCTTTCAACCTTGGATTGGAACCGATAACTGGGGGTGGCGTTCCATTACAGTGATGCTCCTTGTTGAAGCTGTCCGGTCCACATGGTGTAGCCACAGCTTATCAGCCATCGTTATGTGAGCTCATGTTCGTGGAAGCGCCTGATCAGGTGCATCGGATTTGTCAATAAGCGGGTCCATGCGAAGTACCATCGATAGTTGACGCATTTTTGGCATTGCTGAATGACTCACATCAAATCGGATCCGTCGTAATTCCTGCGTGGTTTCCACCAGTGCTCTCACGAGGCCGTCGTTGATTAGGAAGTCGCCGCTTAGGCCGTCGCTGCTTAGGCCGTCGCTGCTTAGGCTGTCACTGCTTAGGCAGTCGCTGCTCAGGCTGTGGCTGCTTAGGCGGTCGCTGCTTAGGCGGTCGCTGCTCAGGCTGTCGCTGAACGCGTGACCGCTGGCCACGAGAGGCCCACAGGGTGAGCGGCGCCCCGCCCGGGTTTACGAGGCTCGCCCCTATGGCGGCACGCGCCGGCCGCTGCCTCCACGTGCGCAGCCGGCGTTTTTACTGGCGCCGGCGGCACGCAGCACCTCTTTACGTGCCTCTCCCTCCTGTTTTAGAGCCCTGGCTGGCAGCCAGCGCGGCGGGGTGCGGGACATCCCACTAGGCTCAGACGGACAGGCACTGGTGGGATCCAGTGCAGAAAACGGGGTGACTTTCGCACGACGTAATTTAGCTGGTTATTGCACGGACACTCAACTCATGACAGCCCGGTGGCAACACTGGTTTACAGCCTAATGCATTTCCGTGAGTAATTTCGGAAAGCATTAGCTTGACTAATGCAGTCCCGTTGAGCGACATTTTATGGCGGTGTCAGCCATTCTGCCTGATTTGGTTGTGGTGGAAACAGCCAGTTATGGATAGTAGCTTTTCCCTCCCCTGGGAACCAGAAAATACGACCCGTTCCAGATGGCCTGATTCCAGGCGTCAACACATGTGTCACTCTTCAGTAAAATTTACTTTTCGCGTGAGTTGATGAGAACATCTCACCTGTTCACACCGTTGGTGCTCTGCTGGGCCAGCGAGAAGCATACGAATGTGACACTAGAACGCACGCAACAAGCATTGATGGACGGGGCATGTCGCTCCCTAACGCCCTATCCTTCTACGCCCTCTGGAATTTCCGCTAGAATCGTGCTAAAAAGCAACGGTTGATGGCACCAGATGTCCGAGATTCGACGAACGATGGAGCCTACAGTCAGGCCCATTACACAAAAATGATCGTGGCCTTGAAAAAATGTCTGCTGAAAACCATGCTCGCGAAAACAATGATGTGACCACGTTTAACGATGACGCAACTATTGCACGCCCTGTTGACCAAGGTCCAGTCCATTCAGCTTAGCAGCTAAGCCACTTTCGTTTCCCATCCTTGATTCTTTTTTTTTGGCATGACGAACAAGGTTTCCGGTATGATTTGATAACTCAATTTTAGGGCTGCTCAGGTTTGTAACACAAGTTTCCTAGTTCAGAGCAACGAGCTTTTCGATGCGCTGTTTTCCAAGCTTCATCCTGTAGACCGCATACTTTTTCTCGGGCAATCTTTACTGACATGATGGTTTTGTTATTTGCCAGCGCAAAGTAATTTGGCTGCAGTACTGAATCCTCCCTTCCGTAGCATGTTTAACTTTTCCAGTCATTCAAATCAGGCTGAAAACGGCACCCTTCCATGTGCCAACGACCTTTTCTTGCCATGCGACAGCAGTGGTAAATATCAACATCTACATAAGCCAGCCGACAGTCAGCATGCCACGGCACTTGGTGGATTGCTTCCGGGATCCCTGGACTGTTTACCTCCGCCCAGCGACGGAAGCTTTAACGGCGTCCGTCCTTATTACCGACTGTGAGCACGTTTCTCACGTCACTTGTCTGACCGGTCGTCGCGGCATGTTCACACGATTGGGCCGAGTGGCGTTCACGACACCCGGGCCGGGCGGCCCCCCTGATCAATCTGCCTCCCCCCCCCCCCCGGTCTGGGTCATTAAGGCACAATCCCGCATTCCCCACGGGAGCCACGCAGTTAGTTTTCCTGTCAACGTCAGGGCATCTGGCGGGAACATCCGACTGACCTTTGGTGTAGTGCATCGTCTTCATTTTTTTTTTTGCCGATGTGCCACACTTTTTGCTCAAACCCGAGTTGAAGTCGATAAGGCAACGCTATCGGTAACTCCCACGTGTCCGATTTCATGGTGTCTATGCTGCACGCGCACCGGCATAATTCAAGAACCTTTCACAAACGAGAACTGGAATAACTGTAGTAAATTTGTTACACAAGCGAAGATAATTTGACGGATTTTGTCAAGGATTTATCCAGGGAACTTTTTCTGAAGGTGTACGTGACGCTGACATGATCCGTAGCCTTCTTCGCCCAAGTCTCGTCTTCCGATCGGTATTGCATCTCTGCATCCTGGGCTGTTTTATAAAGAGATCGCTAGTGCCGTGATTTAATGTAAACAGAAAGGCACATACGTGGTAAGATCACATGCTTATTTGCCCACCTCCCAGGCATGTTCATAAAATTTGATTGGGTTTGTAAGCGCACGTAATATTCAAATACAGCTCACCGAACTTAGACTGCGACATGAAATGCAAACCACACAGAACCCATCCTAAGACAACAATCATTAACGAAAGCAGCATTACCATGCGTACATAGCAGAAAACCCGTTTTGTATCCTGGAGACACACGTTGCGCAAATAGAACAAGCACGGACAACATTCTCCAGCCCCGACCGCCGTCAGTTTCGCAGAAGACTACAGCGCTACCGAATTTTGGATAATCATTCCGGTCATTTAAAGATCCCACCAGCATTTATCGTTGTGAGCATAAGAGATAGAAGAGAGATGTTAGTGGCATCCATCGCACAACCAATTTAAAGCGACATCTTTGAAATCGGACTTCGCCGGTCTTAAACCCATATCAACCAACTGCAGGACGTCACAGCACTTACGCCTGACACGGCCCATCTCGCCACGCATCAAACCAGCTCCCCACCCCACAAAGCAGGTCTGTGCGCCCGACGAGCGGGACCGGCGGCGGCGCTGCGCTCCTGCTGCGCGTGACAGCTGCACCACTGCAGCGGCGCGTGACGGGCCGGTCTGCCGCCGCAGCAGGTCGCGATCCGGTAGCCACTTGTCCTGTGTCGCTTGTCGGTAATGGCCGACACACAGCTGCAACGCGCCGATTGAGTGGGCGCTGCAGGGCACTGCCCATCCGGTGGCGGGATGGCCCGCCGGCCAGCTGCCGCAGCAGCCGGATGTGACGCGCGCCGCCGCCTCGCTCCCCGGCACGGGGTGCATTCAGACCATGTGGACGCGTGCTACGAGGCATGGGTGCGAGCGCTGGAAATTTGTGCTTATCACTGCAGATCTGCGGTCATAGATATTGCTGCATCCCCATGACGCACTCATGCGTGAAGAGCAAGAGAAATCCGTTAAGTGTTCGGGTAGAGCAAGACCGTCGTGGAGACATTCGGCGAAGGCTCTCGCTAGCTTGCATGTTAGGTGGTTGTCGCTGAAAGATGCCAACGTACCACACAGAGATGCTAGGCTGTATATGCCCTTCCTGGCTAAGTTACTTGTTATCCGTAAAAAAACACACAAATGTGCTGAAGTTACGAGCAAAGTGTCCGCACCAGACGCTGATGAATCATCTACAAACACCTGCGTCAGGGTCCTGGGTCATTCATTTAGCCTTATCTGAATCAACACGGCCGTGAACGCTCATGATATGAGACGAACATGCCCAGCTCATCCGGCTTTGCTTTATTTTCGCATCACCGTGGACCTTGGTATGAGGACAATCATCAATTTCCCCAACGGCCGGACGCCGAGTGGTATGAGTTGGCGTGGCGGCCGGCCGTCGCCGCCGCGCCCGCCCCTGACCTACCCCTGACCCGACCGACAGGAGGGAAGTCTGCCGTACGGGGAGACAGACCTGCACGGGGCCCGTCTGGAGATCGGCGAGGTGGACCGTTCCCACGGCGGCACGTACGTCTGCACCGCGCGGTCTGCCGACAACAGGACGGCGGTGCACCGGCTCCGCCTCGAGGTCGAATGTGAGTACCGGAGATGTTAGCTGTGAGCAGCGGCGAGGTCAGCCATAGGCACGAGCGAGGTCGACCGGTAAGGCCCCTAGCTCACTGATGAGTTCGGCTGTGTGCAGTGGGCCTGGATCATCTGCGAATCCGGCGCAGCCAGCAGGGCGGCCCCGTCGTGCGTCCCTCTCTGTTCTCCTGAGGCGGTCCAGCGGCTGACGCGCTGCAGCGGACGGGCGGGCCTGCCCAGGGAGCGGCGGGGCCACGACACACGGCGTAGGCAGCAGCGCGGACGCCGGCCGAAGCTGCAGCACCTGATGAGAACGGCCGACCAGACGTCTCCGAGGGAGGCCGTCGGCCGGCCGCAGGCTCGACGCTCGACGACGCTCGACGCTCGATGACGCTCGATGCTCTACGACGCTCGACGACGCTTGACGGCGTTCGACGCTCGAGCTCGACGACGCTCAATGCTCGAGCTCGACGACGCTCGATGCTCGACGCTCACGCCGCAGCATCAGCCCGAAGGGCGGCTGGCGCGGACTGCGACGACCGAGCTCGGCTGTTGTCGGCGCAGCTCCGGGCTCCAGCCCCGCTGCAGACTGGAGGCGCCGCGCTTGACCTGCCCAATCCCGGCTCGTCCGCCGCAGCGCGCCGAGAGCACGCTCCGTCAACAAGTTTTTGTCTCGCTGCCTCTAATGTGACAATTCGTGCGGTCGGGCTCAACGAGAGGCCATTATGACGCATCATTTGTCTGAAGCCTTCGCCTGCGCGGTTGCGACGGCACAAAGCACGCTGACTGTCATCTTAACCAGTGCTTCGTCCTGGTCTTTGTGCAGGCAGTTGGTGCACCAAAAGACTTGCGCTGTTTTTGGATTGCAGGGATTTCGCACTGGAGCATGCCCGCAGTTCAGCACGCTTCTCGTGCGGTGGTCACGAGCCTGCTAAGGTGCTATTGCTAGCCTGCTGCAATTTTTAGGCACACGTGGTTCATGCCAGGCTCGAGTAAGGGCAGCGATGGCAAGCTATGCCCGTTTTGGCCTTGGGGCAGATTTCAGCCGGTGTTAAGTCACGCCGTGATGGCTACGCCCGAGTGCGTGTCACCCCCCCCCCCCCCCCGCCGCGTCGGTCGTTCGGTGCAGTGTAGCTCAGCTGTGGGTAGTGGCGTCCTCCCCGTGACCCAGCGCAGCGATCCGACTGATGGGGATGGGCGGTGCTGTGCTGTGTTTCAGTCGCCCCGGAGGTCGTCTCCCCTGAGCCGGTGGTCTACTCGGGAGAGGGACGTCACGTGGTGCTCCGCTGTCACGTGTTCGCGCACCCGCCTGCACAGGTTAGACCTGTCTGCTGCTGAGCCCATCGGCGCTGGTCAGACCTGTCCGCCATTGAGCCCATCGGCGCTGGTCAGACCTGTCTGCCATTGAACCCATCGGCGCTGGTCAGACCTGTCTGCCATTGAGCCCATCGGCGCTGGTCAGACCTGTCCGCCATTGAGCCCATCGGCGCTGGTCAGACCTGTCTGCCATTGAGCCCATCGGCGCTGGTCAGACCTGTCTGCTATTGAACGTGGGAAGAAACCTCCAGAGGAAATGACTGAACGTTGTTTTCAAGGAAGAAAGCGCTTTGATCGCAAAATACCATCTTAATTTCGCACAGAGTTAGGGTAAAGACCTTATGCTAATACGATCACTGTCCATAATGATGATAGGCTGGTTGTTGCTAATACGTCCAAAAGTGTACCAATGCGAGAGGTTATTTTGTTACCATCAATTATGTGATCACCACCACTACGTCGATATAGTTATATCTTACAACAACACAAAATATCAAGACAAAACTGGTTTTGAAAGCCTACATATTTTGATCCTTCAGTGCAATAACGTCATCTCGCTGAGCCTAATTCTCAACCGCAAACAGCGTTGCAGCGCCCCCCCCCCCCCCCCCCCCCCCAGCTCTACAGCAAATGGTGCCGTCCCTGCGTGTGCTGCCTAGCAGCATCCCAGTCCCGCCGCATGCGTCCTCAGGCCACATCACACTGACGCAGCGTACGCGGCAGTGGTGGATTCACGTGCGGCCCACAGGTGTTAAGTTCCACAAAGGGGTGAGGACGCTTGACTCACCTTGTGCACGTGCCAGCGGTGGCAGTCCCATCAATCTAGGACCGGCTGTGGGCTACGGCCAAAGACGAGGGCACGAACCCAATGACACTGCAGTTTTTTCGGATAATTTTTGACGGGCCTCGACGAGTTGTCTGCTACCTCGACCATGAAAATTTTGGAACTTCTCAGCGCTACCTTTCATTGGCACCGGCGCGTGGGGGACGGCGGTACCATATACCACTTCAGAACTTAAAATACAGGTAACTAAATCCGGGGAGCTTTGGGAAACCTGACGAAAATCCGGCAGCATGGCGAGATTCTCCCAGTTCCGTAAACTGCTCGCTCCAACCTGAATGCTGCTCCGCGGCTTGGAGGCCCCGCAGAAGCTGCTGATGCCTGCGATGATGCCTACGCATGGCTGCAGGCCACACGAAATGTTTGTCACGTACGCCGGCCGCGTTTGCCGCGGCTGCGCGCCACTAAAAGTGAACTGCCTATTGACCTGGTGACCCCAGGTGACGTGGCTGAGGGCGAGCGGCCGGCCTCTGGAGCCGGACCGGCACGTGACGACCAGTGACGGCGAGCGGTTCCGCCTGGCCATGCGCGTGACGACCGGTGACCTGGACACGTACCTATGCGTCGCCACCAGCCCACTGGGCGTCGGCCAGGCCTCCGTGCAGCTGACGGGTAGGTGTGGTACAGCACGACCATGCTGTTACTAACGTGTCAAAATTGGAAAATCGAACACAAAGGGTGTGGGCTGGCAGCTTAAGATTCAGGAAGTGTGAGAAGTAGCACACTTATCTATCATTTGAGGATTGGTACCCATTTAGCTACACCTAGTGAACAGGTAGATTTGTGTTTTGGCAAGAGTCATTGACAAGGCATCTCCTTAACGTGTAAAACATATAGCTATCTTACTACCTCCAGCGCTGTCCCATGCTACCGTTCTTAGAGTCTACAGAGCATTTGCCTCCGCATCATTTGTCACCAGAATGGACTCCGTCGGATTTTAGTCCGGAGTCGAGGTACATTCTCCTGAGTCAGAGTCGGACTCGGTTCAGACTCGTGCTGTGCAGAGCGAAGTGGAGTCAATGCGAGAACCCGTCTTTGGTGTACCGATTCGCAGTCAGGTTCGATTCGTGTGGAGAGAAATAAAGCAGTCTGCTTACAAGACTACAACAGTTAAGTATTGAGGGCCATAGATTCGGCCAAGTTCAGTGAACTTAAACGTCCAGGAGTGGAAAATTGGAGCGCTGCGGGGCGAAATCCAGGGCTCAATTGCTCGCGCTCATGCTTTATTTTCATCCCAAGTCAACAAGTAGCGGCCAGAGCCCCGTCAGTCAGGACCAAACTCTGGTTACTGGAGCTCGGTCCAGCTTCGGTGGAAAATGCTTAACTATCTAGTGGGGACCTGCAGCGCAGCCCCGACCTTCCGGGTGATTAGGTCGTGTTTAGTCGCAACGCGTTCCATTTGTCTTGGAATGAGCGTGAGGGTCACTACTGGCATCATCTTTGCTCATTTGGTGTTCTGCTGACGTTGTCTTTGCTTGCTGGAGGTCAAAAGGTACTGGTCATGTTATCTATGTCTGTTCGGCGCTGCATTCCTCGCTCCGCTCCCGCCTTATATGCGCCAGATGCTGTCTGAGATGCATGCAGTTATGAATTGTTGTTAATGCACGATCTATGATCATGGACCCGCTGCCCATGCCACTGCCAAGCTGTAATATCAGGCATTGCTCACCTGTACTGCCTTGAAAGAGTTGCTTGGCTGAGGAACAAAAAAGCCATTTTGAAATAAAAACGTATGCCCTTTTATCATTTGGTGCGCGAAAAAAGCAATGAATTTAGTATCGATGTAAGACTGCCCGATCTTGCATCTGAGCGATGCCTGAGCATATTCCACCAAGGTTTTCGAAATCTGGCTTTGGTGACGTCAGCTTTAACTGAGATCCAAAATAGCCTAACTTTTTGTGTTGCATGACTGCATTTAATGATTGTATTAGCGGTAACCGTTGATTTGTTCTAAATACCATCCGTTAATTGTTCTACATTGTTAGGCTCTGGTCCGTTTCAGGGTTACCACTTCATACACGGAATGTGTTTCATACTTTTCTTCAAGTATGCTGCTATTTCCTAGCACTTGCCTTCGTCTTTCTAGTGATACCGGAAATGCCGATGTTAAGTCATACGGCAACTACCATCCTCAAACTAGCAGATTGAGCGGTGCCTTTTGATTTTCCTGTTGCCCATAATATTGCTTCGAAGGCATAGGTTTTCCACCCGCCGGCGTGCAAGGCGCAGCGGGTGTTCTGCTGGAGCCGCCGCAGTAATGACGTCGGCTCATGCAAGAACTCTGTTAATAGTGTGCGGCTAACGACCCGGTACCGTGCGAACACGCATCGAGCGCTTAATCAAATGTGCCGGTAAATTGCGCAAATTACGCCGGAAATTACTCGGTGGTGCAACAAAATTCACGTGGGTGGTTGTGGGAAGGTCTTTCATTTCCTCTTGTGTGGAATGCTGTTTAGCAGGCTGTCTGTTCTGTGCATCTCTGAGGCGCCACGTGGTGGTGCAAATATAATCTGCTTCGAAAGCTGTCCAATACACCTTGAGTTACTGCTGTAAGTAGGGGTGACAAGACTGACCTTCAAATTTCGGGGCTCGGGAGCGTGAGGAATGCCATGACTTGCCTGTCATACCGCATACCCTGAAATCTGATCGATTGATGTTGGATATTGTGGAAGGAATTGCACTTCGCCTTACAGCTCCATGCTGACAGAGGCTGTGTTTCAAACCCATCGCAAGTGGTACCCTTTAGCACGCTTAGATTTGAAACACTTCACGCTAACCCAGTTTACAAAAAAAAAACATTTCGTCTGTATAGTAATAAAACCAGGGCGTAACACCTGTTAGTCTCCATGTATGATGACAGAGCTTTCACCCAACAGCACATGTCGTGCAACACCTGCCCAAGTTACGGCATAGAAACGTCATTAAGTGAAGTCACATGAATTCCACTTGATAGCAAAGCACAGCTGAAGGACTGCGCAGTGGATTACGGTGAGGTGGCTCACTGTGGCTGCGAGCATGTGACTCATTCCCTCCTTCCCGCCTGTTGTGTATTTGTCTGCTTAACGACACTTCAGACATATTTTACTATTGCTGTCGCTTCAACAATCGGCCACAAGGACAGGCGTAATTTGCGTTCGCTGCGGCACATCCTCCCATGTTGCGTCACGTGCTAAGTTCCGAGCAGGCACCCCTCTCGCCCGTGCTTCAGGGCGTCCGGGACAGGCCGTCGTGACCTCTCCCGCCCAGGGTCAGCGGAGCACGACCTACGGCCTGGCCTGGCGGGTACGGAGCCTCTCGCCCCTGCTCGCCTACAAGCTGCTGTACCGCAAGCACCAGGTGAGTCACCTGACCGCGCCCTGCCACCGCTGCCGCAGGCACCAGGTGAGTCATCTGACCGTGCCCTGTCACCGCTGCCGTAGGCACCAGGTGAGTCACGTGACCGCGCTCCGGTCACCGCTGTCGCAGCGCGCCCCATTGGCGCTGACGCCATGGCACCGGCCCGCGCGGGGGTGGTGGGTGTGACCGCCCACCGGTCCCCAGCTCCGCGCTGAAGTCACCGCACAGTGCGACCGCTGACGACCGCTCCCGGTGAATTTTGATTGTGGGTGCCGCTCCGCCGGCCGGTGAACCTATGCATGACGTCATGACCGGCCCGGTGGGCGTTGAGTTCGTTCCACCCACGCCCACGAGGCGGACGGGTAGATATGGCATCCAGTGCCGTTCTCCTCAGTCTCAAAGACGGTAATGTCATTGGTGCTTTCTTTCGCTTCTGTTACTCGCTATGGTCCAGAACGCTGCAGTGCTCGGCTTCCGCACTTTCGCTGGAGGCTCTACGCGGCCGTCCGTATCCATTATCCTTTGCCGCGATCCTAAGTAGGGCTTCGTATATCGAGATCCCGCGTAGGGCTTCCGTAACGAAACCCCTGGCTGATACTGCCGAGTCTCGTCCGGCGCGCCCCACTCCGAGGGGCGGAGACACGCCCGCGCGGGGCGGTGCACGGTCCGGTAAGCGCGCTTACGCGCCGGCCACATCAAAGAGACGTACCGGAAGTGGCACAGGAGCGACGGCGGCCCGGACCGGTGACATAAGTCTGGCTCATTAATCGGTCACGGTTGCTGGCGGCCCGCGGGCGGTGCCCGTACCGGCTGACCCCCCCCCCCCCCCCCCCCGTCGGCTCACGTGGGACCAATGCGGGTGAGGTGACTGGCCGCACCCGAGTGGCCGGGATAAATCGGCGCATGGGACGCCGGGGCTGGACGACGGCGGATGTGGGTTTCCAGCTGCAGGCCGGCAAACCCTTGTGGTCTGGTGGTGGGAAGCACAGGACGTCAAGGGCACTGCCCGTGTAGACCATCGTGTGCCAGCGCTTCTTACGTTCATACAACATGACCGATCAGAGTTGGGCGTGCTTTGCCCGCACGGTGCTGGGAAAAGCAGTCACATGTAAGTTATTTGGATGAATCACTCTGGGTTCTGAGCTCATTTTCTCTATGTTATTAAATGTTATGTAGGCATGGCAACTCAGCAAGTCTACCATCTTACTCAAGGTAATGATGTGCAAATCGCTAAAACCGCACATCAGTCTGCCGACCAACGGTGAGAGCCCATGTGTTCTGTCCCGAAACATCGGAACATCTTGATGACAGCTTTGGTCTCGGAAGATAGCTCTGGTGGTTTGTGCTGCCGTCAAATATTTTTAACATAAAAGCCAGTCGTGCTTCTTTTACTGCATCGCAGATATCTATGTCCGCATGTTCGTAAACTGTGAAAGCATAGAGCAGTGTGCATTGTATGCGGGAGATTTTTAGATGCACAGGTACATCACGAGTCAAGACGTGACGACCGGAATCCAGCCTAAAAAGGCACAGCTTGAATCAATCCGCGAGCGCTGGATTGGTAAATCTGAACTTCATGTTCCAAGGTCGACCTGCTGGAGGTTGGTGTTTCGATGCTCTGAATGCTTACTTATTAAGCCTTTATCACTGGACGTCCAACGCGGCACCACGGGGTTACTGACGGCTTTGCAATTCAAGGACTTTGAAATGACCGAATCTGTGATGCCTTTGATAAAGCTGTCAAACTGTGGCTAAATGCATGTTAGCCAGTATGGCACCAGTTATTCGGGGCATTCGATCAGATCAAAATTGGCACATCGAACGACGTTTCCGTCGAAGCTTGGAATTTTAATTGGCAGTTTTCAAGCCGACTATCAAGGGGACCTACATACAGCTGTAGACTTGGTGATTTTTTTTCTCGAATGGTCACAATCCGCAGACTAGTAAATCAACATAAACGATGCTGTTGCCATGAATCTGAAGTGGTTCTTCAAAAGGCAATATTTTGAAATGCGTCCAACCGTCTCTTACTTTCTTGCACTCCCCCTCCCCCAAAAACCGTCGGTGATAAGCGACAAGGTCTGCTCCCGACCTGGCGGACCTGATCGACTGTCCCCTAGTATCCCCAAATACGGCTCATTGTATGGTACTGTGTGCCATGACATGGTGGTGGCGGGCAGTCCCAGAATTCCCCAACCTCAGCAGCTACCAGCTGCTGAGGTTGGGGAACTCCGTTGGGGAGCTCTGGGATGCTCCGGTCGGCTATCTCCAGAACGTCTTCAGCCTGGACAGTTCCGCCCTACGGCGTCCAGGGTCTCCCGATCCGCCCCAGTCCTGGCCGCGAATCCGCCCAGCCGCCCCGCAGCGCCGACCGGCGGGCGCCGGAGCCTGCGGAGGTCGCTGCAGCACGCGGCGTCGATCGATGCTGCAACTGGGTCGCCGGACGCCGGGTCGTCCCGACCGCGCGCCCGACGGGCGCCGCCTGTCGTCGGCGGCGACGCAGCGGCTCCGTCGAGGTCGGCGCCGCATTTTACTGCGCGTGGGCCGGGGGGGGGGGGGGGCGGGACGTGGGCGGCGTCGGCAGGCTGGCCGTGCGCAGCCTCGGAGTTGGGCAGTCAGCGGTGGATCGGTTGCTGGGTTGGGATGGAAACTAGCGAACGTCTGAACCGACGCTCCACCGCCCCGAGTTGACTATAGAGCGCGTGCCGTAAAATTTCGCTGAAGTTATGTTTGACGTCGGGTTAATAGCGTCGAAACCAAAAGGTTGTCATTGACCTTCAAGCAATTACAGACGATGTTTGCATTAGGTCGCGACCACACATGTATACGCACCCACGGACATTTCGTCGTGCGAATTTCCATACGGTGTATGAACTGAATAGTCTTATTTGCCGTCCCGTTCTCTGGTAATATTTGCCAGCCCTGGCCTCCGCTGCCACAAGGACTTACTGAAAAAACGGCCTGTCTCTTGCTACAATATTTGCCCGGGCCGCCTTGACAGACAGCAGGCACAGGTGGCGGCTTCCGAGTCACGCACGGAATGTCTGCTTCCAAGGGCGAGCGGGCCGCACCTAGCGAAGAAATCCGGCCTCTGTCTAACTGGCCGGGCGTGCCTATCGTGCCCGTCCATCCAGGTCCGTCAGCGTCTGTCCCCGGGCCGGGCCCCTCGTTTGCCGACGCGTGCGTCGGGCCATCGGTCTCGCTTGTGCAAGCCAATCTTGGTCACCTGAGCCCAGGCCTTGCCCCAGCCCCAGCCCATTCATTACCCCACACAGCGTCCTGTCGACCTCGGCAAACGCCGACTGTTTGTCGGCCGCCGCCCTCCGTCATCGTCGCCGCCGACGCTCCCCCCCCCCCCCTCTCCACCAGGTCACCGTCGCCTCCGACGCTCCCCCCGCCAGGTCATCGTCACCTCTGACGCTCTCCCGCCAGGTCACCGTCGCCTCCGACGCTCCCCCCGCCAGGTCATCGTCACCTCTGACGCTCTCCCACCAGGTCACCGTCGCCTCCGACGCTCTCCCGCCAGGTCACCGTCGCCTCCGACGCTCCCCCCGCCAGGTCACCGTCCCGGCCGACGCTGTGCCGCCAGGTCACCGTCATCTCCGCCGCTGTGCCGCCAGGTCACTATTATCTCCAACGCTCTCCCGCCAGGTCACTGTCACTTCCGACGCTCTCCCGCCAGGTCACCGTCGCCTCCGACGCTGTGCCGCCAGGTCACCGTCGCCTCCGCCGCTGTGCCGCCAGGTCACTATTATCTCCAACGCTCTCCCGCCAAGTCACTGTCACTTCCGACGCTCTCCCGTCAGGTCACCGTCACCTCCGCCGCCGTGCCGCCAGGTCAAGCCGGGAGCGACGGCGAAGTCGCGGCCAGCCGGCGCCTGGCTGGAGGCGGTGATCCCGCTGGAGCCGCGGCCAGCCGGCGCCGGGGACGTGTACCGGCACCAGTACACCATCGGCCGGCTGCAGCCGGGCACCTGGTACGAGGCGCTCGTGCTGGCCGGCACGCGGCACGGCTGGGGCGCCCCGGAGTCGGCGTTCCTGTTCCGCACGGCGCCCGACGTCGGTGAGATCCGCCGCCGGCGAGGCGCCCCAGGCGGAGGAAGTCAGGGGCGGCTGCGGGAGCCTGCTCCTGATGGCCTGTGGTCGGAGCACGCGCCTCAGGTCGACCTGGGAGTGAGTGGCTCCAGTCGGGGCGCTGCGCAAGCTGTGTCAGAGTAGTGACGCTGCCGCGGCCGTCCGCGAGCGGGCCCAACCACACGCCAGGTGCCGCGTGGCGAAACTTGTAGTAGACAACCGGCCTCACCCGTCATCGCCGACCTCCGTGCCTCAGGTTATCACGTGACACAAAGATCAGGGGCAGCGGTAGCGGACGCAGCGAGCCGAAAAAGAGGGTCTGACGTTATCCCTTCCGCGTGATAGAGCTAGTTTTGCCGTTACCAAGACATAACCATTCAGCGCAATAAGAACACAATGTAACACAACACTCTCCATCTGAAAAACGCACCCAACGCCCCGCACTCGAAGCATTATACATCGTCACACATCACGATCGGTCACGAGGTTCAAGTTTTTTCGCGTGGGTGCGCCTCGGCCTCCCTCCCTTGTCACAGTGTCTACATGCCTGCGATCATGCACAGATACAACGGCGAAAGGTCTATCCATGGGTCGTCCATCTTGGAACGCGCAACAAAATTGCGATACCAGATTGTCACCTGGTCGGACCGCTCATGCCGCCACACCGCGTTTCCTGTCATATTGTTGTTTGTATGCCTTAGTTATGGAAGCAGCCAGCCGAAAAGGAGAGTCTGACGGACGCCCAGGCGCGTCGGAAGAGGACTGTTGAGGAACGTGCGGAAATGTGGTGATCGCCATGAGGGTTTGACCTGCGGCACAGATGAGCCGTTGAGCACCTGAGCCGTGGGCCTTGGAAACCTCGTTGCGTCATGTGAACACCTAGGTAACGGCAACACACCGCTTCTACCCGCAGACACTGAAGCAGCGAAGACACTCCGGAGCAGCCGCCACGAAGGTAAGCTGGCCCGCTGCCCGCCCCCACGCGATAAGCTCTGAGCCCCGCCATCGCTTTACACGCAGCACGCCGAGGAGGAACGGTGCCTCACGTGACGTGGGCGCCGCGTCGTCGCGCCTGTTAACCAGTGTCATCGCCGTGATGTTATGCGTGACGCGTCGCCGCGCCGGGGAGTGCTCACCTTCCTGAGTGTGTGGCGGTGCCCCGCCTCCGCGGAGATGTGATAGTGTGCTGGCACGGGGGTGGTGAACATACACCGGCCATTTGTCAAAGCTCGACTTCTGGGGACGAACCATGATGCGGTGAATTTTAATATGCTAGGTGAGGTATGGCGCTATGTACAGCTGTAGGCGTGCTCATGCAGATGGCGGCGTTGCCCGAAGACAGCTTCAAAGCAGTGCATAGACCGGGGACAACTTACCGATAGCATTTTTGGACAGATGGAAACTGTGAACGGGCATTGCGGCACGTCTGAGCTCTTCAGCAGATGTTGGGATCTCAAAACACGCACGAGTGGCCGGTGGAATGCGACGCGCTCGAGTGAACGGGGGGAGAGGTACAATTTGGCTCGAGATCTCAAAAGCAAAGGAAGCTAGAAACATCAAAAAGACAGGAGGACAGGCCTGTACGTGAGCTCACTTACGCGAAATTTGGAAATCCCTAGGTTAAGATCCTCGTGTCAAATAAGGTCACACAAGGCCGAACTTCGGATGGCATCGAACTCGCCTCATGTAAGGTCCTTTTCCAAAGACATCTGTACTAAGCAAAAGGTCACTGGTGCACATTTTAGCTCAGTGACCTTATTTGACCTTAAGAAGGTCACGGTGACAAAAACCCTACGAGATTGTACTGATTTTTGAATTAAGATAAACATGACGGCGGTATGATAATATGACGTCGGTTTTAGGTGGTATGTTTCAAAAAGCGCAAGGTTGATCAGAGGTCATTTTGGGTAAATAACCTACCCTGACTTATGAATCTGAATAGGAATTTAAATAAGACAACAAAAATCACTGCGATCAAGAAATTTGAAATGAGTGTCAAAAACTATTCCGTTGGCAGGCTCTTCAGTGACAGAGCAGTTTGGTTATTACCTCGGTGTGATCGTCACACCTGACACAAGGTCAACGGAATTAGTCGAAACTCTAATTCAACTGCCTATTTGTATCAGGAACTATATCAGAGATGCATGGCTCCGTCGAAGACTCCGCTGTCGCACCAGAATAGGCGATTCCCCATGAGCTCCCTTCGCTGACGGCCGTGGTCTGACTTTGGCCTTCCATAGGTCAGCGACCTTACAAGGTATATCTAATTTTGTATACCAAAGACCTGCTGTTCAATTACCTTCAGCTAAGCAGTCTGGTGCGGCTGCGCTGCGCACGAACCGGAGCAATCGATGAATCCTACGGAATGATAATAATGTAATAGAAATAAGCTGTCAAAAGTTGCCCGAGTGGATGAGCCTTTGTCCAGTCATTTTACTGTGGGCCGCGTGGACAAGAGACAACAATTAGGCGAACAGGGCATGCAAAGATACGGGTGTTTGTACACATACTTTAGCCCGCAAGGAGAGATGTTCCTGTGGGTTGTCTGCGCCTGTTGTAAACAGCCTTTGCCAATAACTTAGCTAGCTTGACGACACGCAGTTAGCTGTCATGCTACTGGAACAATTGTCTCACCATTTGTTGTGGCCACGTACCTGTCCTCATCCAATAGGCGCGCTTGTGTCACCGGTTCGCAGTTCGGTACGTGATTCACACGAAATTAACGTGTAAAAAAGTTAAGGAGCCATGCGGAAGTGGCAGTGCGACATGCAGCAAGCATTAACTGCTGTTTGGAGTCTTGGCCACTTGCTCGCCGGCACGCTGATCTTCGGGAGCCTTGTCAGCCAATCGCGGCCCACCGACGGCGTGCAGTTGACCGGGTGATGTGTTATGTGCAGCTGGTGGCGCCGGCGGGGATTCTGCGTCATCTATGCGTGCCGGAGCTGCGACCTTCCTGATCGCCGCCTTGATGGCCTTGCTAAACATCTGACATAACGGGCCCGACCACCGGTGGAGTCGAGATTGAGCAGGTTCGGATAGCATGTCTTTGCGTGTGTTTGTGTTTGTTTGACTGCAGTGCAAGCCTTGTCTGGGAGGGGCTAAGGTTGTTCCCACCCTCCATTGAACGGTCTGGAGTCGCGTGATGAACACAGACATCTGACACTGGGCGCCATCGCCTATTGTCTTAACCCTTTCTCCGCTTTATGGCGAAGTGCGGACGTGCGTCGAATTGGTGAGTAGGGAGCAGCACGTATTTAAGCTTGAAAGTTAGACATCACACCATGTTTAAGCTGAGAGACATTGCACCTTGTAAACACTTCAAAACGTAACGGGGACCCTCTACACAGGCCAGACCATCTTCCTCCACCTGTGACGGCGATGACTGCCCTGCCTCCCAGGTCTCTTCGGCGTGCTCTCCGGCGCCGTGACAGCAGCAGGCGTGTCCAGACTCCAGTCTCGACTGCGGCAGACGCTCTGCGCTGACAGCCGGTAGCAGTCTCACACTGCGCGGGACGTCCTCGACTCGCCGCTGGGACGTCAGGTGGCGGTACGGCCCGCTTCGCTGCGTCCGCCCGATTGCTGTGCCATGCGCGGATGGAGCGTTAGCCCGGCCCCGCGGTGAGCGGGCGGCGCGCGGTCGTGTGCAATGTACTGGACTTCTGAAGAATAGCAGACCTCCTGTGCGTTAGGTTTTCTCTTTCTCTTGTCGCCAGGATAATTAGGAACACTTGTGGCATTCATGAACCAGTGGCTTGATTTCAGTCCTCTGGAGGCAGACATTGTGCCTCGTACCGCACGCTTCTGACACGAGTGTTATGCTACGTAAACGTGGGTATTGAATAGGATGGCCTTCGGTAGGCGCCTTTTAATGAGTTGAAATACATTGTACGTGCAATGTGTCAGCTGTTTTTACTGTACAACCATTCAGTTTAGCTTTCTCTTTTTGCATGCCGACAATATACTCCGGTTCTGACCATGGCCTACTGCAAGATCACGCGGTGAATAGGCGAGCAGTTATTGGTAACAAAGTCCTTCCAAACGATAACAGCAACAAAGCAGCCTGAAGGCTTCTTCATCCTCGGCAATGTTCGACTTCCCTAGCTCGGGCTGTCATCGGACGCCCTACACCGTGACATGATGCCGGCTCCACGGGCAGGCTGGCAGAGCTCGACGCCGGCCCCCGTGATAGAAGACCCGCCGGACATTCGCCGCATACGTAATGAACCACTATCGTGACGTCACGTTCGCGCACCCTCCTCACAGCGGTCGCGGATGACGACTGCGCCGGCCCTCGGTCCCAGACCGAGGCTCCTCCCGTACCGACCGCGCTCTGGGACGGATGTGCTGACGCGCTTCGGCCCCTCGGGGTGCAGGCGGGTGGCGCCTGTCCCCAGGCCTCTCTCATCATGTCACCGCGGCTACACTCGCCGCAGGCCTCTCATCTTTTGTCGCCGCAGTCCCACTCGTCCCACTCCCACAGTCCCACAGTCCCACAGTCCCACTCGCCCCAGGCCTCTCCCATCAGGTCACCGCGGCTACACTCGCCGCAGGCCTCTCAGTTTTTGTCGCCGCAGTCCCACTCGCCCCACTCCCACAGTCCCACAGTCCCACAGTCCCACTCGTCCCACTCGCCTCTCCCATCAGGTCACCGCGGCCACACTCACCGCAAGTCTCTCTCATCTTGTGTCGCAGCAGCCACTCCCGCCGTGGCGGCCGCAGCGATATCGGCAGGCGCGTTGGGAAGCACCGGTACCTGCACTGGGGCTACGGGAAGGGACGGAATCACTGCTCACGGTGCGAGGGGGAGGGGGTCATGGCGAATCAGTGGGGGAGGCATGGCTTCCTCTGCCCCATCCACCCACCACCCGTAGTGGGTTTATGGCCATTCCCATCCGTCACCTATCGCTACTGATTCACACCTTCTCCCATCCTCCGTTACCCACCGTGAACCTTTTAATAAAGTCTCGGTTCTAACTCATAAAAGAGATCAAGAACATCCAAATTTGCACCCAAATTATACCCAAAATTCCTGCGTTCTTTTAATTTATCAAAAGTGATGATACATATCTTATAACTGCTAGATTTATAACAGGAACGCAATCATCAGCATTCTGTGGTATCACTTGAAAATTAAATTTGGCTTTCGGGGAGGTTGTCCTCATAGGGATACTCCTTCTACTAAAACTGCTAGTCTTTTTCTCAGATCTTTATGCTTCACTTGAAGCATAAAGCTTAAAGACCCATGAAGCTTAAAGACCCATACTAAATGCCTATCCATGAGAATTTACGCGAATTTAAAGGCGTGTGTTGGGAACTGCATGACCATTTGAAGGCGGTGCCCAAATCCCCAAATCACATCACCAACAGCAGTACTCGCAGCCGCAGAAGTCGCGAATATACTGATCGCGAATGAAGCTGCAGTGTCCTGCGCGAGTGTCTTACAAACCCGAAATGCTCTCTGAAGTTCTTGAAGATGTCCTGCGTTCTGCGACGCCGTCTAAGGGATATAGCCTACGGAGACGTGCCAGAAATCGCAGCAGCTATTCCGACAAAGCTAGTCATGCTGTACCATGGCTAACTGAGGGCGTATGTTTGTGGTGGAGTGTGCCCTCAGCAGATTACTTTCGACAAAGTTAGTTTACAACATGCTCCCATAGCGAGCGATGCCTTAACTTCCCCAAAGGCCGAGTCTTTGAGGTGATCGCTTTGTTGCGCGCAATGCATCTGCGAGGACTTTAATATCCGTTCAAAGGGAAGCCAACGTGCGCTCAGGGTATGGGTGTAAAAGTCCAGAAGTGCATTTTATCAGAGAGCTCCATCAAAGGTCATCCAGTACTTCCAGGAACAGGTATCCATGCCGAAGGCCTATCAGTTATATCAGTATGCAGTATACCACTTTATCAGTAGACTGAGATGCAGTAACGGAAACATTCCACCCACGCAGTGAACGCCAGCGCGGCCTTCTCCGTCGGCGTTCGGGCCAGGCGGCCGTGGTGCGGTGTCCAGTCTCGCTCGGCAAACTCGCCGCGAACTTGGCCGCCGCCTGACCGCGACAGCTCCCATTGGCATGCCCCGCCGGTCTGCAGCGGAGCGCGGGGCCTTTCACCCGGCGCCGACGGTCGGCAGCCGCTGTCAGCACCCGCCGGCGCAGTCTCGGAGCCGTAGCTGACGGACTGCACTGGAAGGGGCGAGGGTATTCGCGGGACCCGGCGGTGTGCTGAACCGAGCGAGGCCCGTGGAGGAGCCCCGACGGCGTGCCGGACCGAGTGAGACCCGTGGAGCAGCCCCGGCGGCGTGCCGAACCGAGCGACGCCCGTGGAGGACCTCTCGTGAGGACCCGCGCTGCAGCGAGCGGGAAGAAGGCCGTGCTGGGAGCGGGCGCCACCGTGATAGATGGTGAAAGAGGAACCCTGGTGACCCTGCGATACCCATCGAGTTCCCACAGCCGGCCGCGCGCCCCAATCAAGATGCAATGCGCTGCGCCTTTCAACGGGCGGTTACAAAGCGACCCTGTCTGCGCAGGGTCAGCAGGCCTAATGAAGCGGGGTTCGGAGGTATCGCTTTCAGCGTCCTTCGTTGTTTGCATGCATAAGCGTGCTGCACTGCTCCGCGCACCCTGGTGGAACTGACCGCGCACCTGACGACCCTCACACGAACACAACCCTCCTGATTGAATGGCTTAAAAGCCGATGGATTACGCTGTCAAACATTCGCTGCACGCGTGTCTGCATACATCGACTGGCCCACACCTCCGGCGCTACAGTGAGCTGACCCGAGCCGTCAGCCGGGTGTGCCGGCCCTTCCTTCCTCCCCGGCAGACGAGGTCTGCACATCGCGCGGTGGAGCCGGCGTTGCAGCGCGACCTCGCACATTGGGCGCCCCCCCCCCCCGCGCGCCGCGCCGAATGATTCGGTATTGATTCGGCCGGCGCGGTATATCAGTCTGACTGACGGCGGGAATGGGTTGGCGGCCGCGGTGCCCACGCGGAGGCGTGAGGCGGAAGTGGGGACGTCAGGCGAGGTCTGGGTGGGAAACAAACGCGCTGGAATGCTCACCGCGCCGCCGTGCTGCGTTTAGAGGGACTACGAACGTCGCTGACCCTACCCATTCATGCTGTTGTCTGGGATATGCCTGAATGCATGCGCAAGGTTTCACCTGTTTGCCCTCATACAAAGGTTAATATTCAACTTGTATGTAGCCGCAAGGTTTGCCAAAAGAGGTTCTAAATGCATCTACAGGGTGAGAATGCATGCAATGCATCCTAATGCATTGGCGAGGATATTTTTCAGACGCGTTCTTATGCGGTGCGCTAGGTACTACATTGATTCGTGTGCAAACAGGTGTCTCATTTCGAAAGTAGCGCGGAATGACTGCCGCTGGTTGATCAGGGCTGGGCAGCTTGGGCAGAGCCTGCTCTCTTGCGTGTAGTCTGAGCTCAAATGTATGCAAAGCGCCAGTGCAGTGCAACGACACAATTCTTCCTGCTTTTCAACGGACAACAGCGGAGCAGAGTCGTGTTTTTGCCCCAAATGTCATAAAAGGTCGTCGGTCCCGTGCCCGGTAGTGCGCCCGTGTCGAATGCGGCGTCGCCGGATGCCGTACAGTGTAAAGACAAATGTCATCCGAGCGAGACGGCGTCGGTGGGATGGGACGCCGCAGGGGATCTGAGATGTCGACGTTCTGTGACTTAGCTCTGCGGCTCAGTTACGAGTGAGAGTTGTTCCATTTGGAGAGAAGCCAAGGCCTTGCCACATCCAAGCTTCTTGAATCTGAACGTAGAGTTGGTCGGTGCTTGACGAGTGAGAGGAGCATTCTAAGCTCCTATTGTGTCCGTTTCCCCACATGCACGCCTGTGACCAGGCGGCTGCGGTGGTCTGTCATCTCGCTAATGAAACATCTAGTCTATGAAAACTGTCTGACGAGTTGTGTGATTCATTACAAGATATTCGATTCGTGTCAAGCTGGATCCCCTTCGAAGTTGGCCTTGGCACACTTGACTGCTGCAAGTCAACAACGAACCGTAGAAGCATCATTTATTCACCTTCCGTAGCCCGCTCGCATCCTCAGATTGTACGGCGCCGACCATCGGGTCTTCAAGCCTAACAAGTCCCGACATCGGAACGCTGCACGTGCACACAATGCATAATCACCCCTCCACAGCGTGCCTCCCAGCCGCTGGAGACCACGGGGAGCCTGATGACTCTGCATGCAGCACCATCGACCCAGAGACCCAGACGGGATGACCCAGCGGGGTGTGTTTCCACGTGTAAGCCGTGACACCAATTAACCCTCGGCGGCCGGGCGGCCTCGCGCTGGCTCGACCCGACGGCCACGGCCAAACAGACCGCCTCAGACCGCCACTTGCTCAATACGCTGTTGACTGGACCGCACAACTGGGTTAAGCACTTGGCTCAGCGACTTCAATCATGAATCAAATAATGCAATTGTGTGAGAGCGTAATTTCCTGCGGGCGGCTGCACTCGTGAGATGAGATGGTGATGTTGTTTGCCTCTAGCTCGTGCGCCGCGTGTGTGTGCCTGTGGCTTTATTGACGTGCTGAGGTCATGCGCACCGGTTGTATTTTGTAAGCCTCTATGACCACTGGCCCAAATTCAGCACTGGTAAGCCACATGCC